AGGGAACTACACGGGGGACCCCCGACGAGGGCCCTCTCTGTCCCTGTCCATCTTCTCCAGCCTTGCCCAGCCTTTGCTCGGACTTGGTCAGAAGCCAAGAACGTGTGAAGGAGGCAACATCTGGAGGACAGATGTTTGGCGGGTGTTGGCACAGCCCACCTGCTTCCGACAGGAATTCCCTGCATAGCACCCTTCTCCCAGCAGGGGTGGTGTAGGGCAGGGAACAGCACTCCTGGGAACGTCGGAGGCCGGGCCTCCCTCTCCTGGGACGTAAGGGAACTGTGGGGAAGCACCTCTCTCCTGAAGGGCAAGCTGCTCCAGTTTGTCTTGTGAGCACCCACACTCATGTGCGCATCCATCTTCAACACCCCCCCTCATGCAGCCCCAGTGACAGGAGCCCCTTAGGCCTGCACCCTCCTCTTTGCTCCCAGGAGTGAACAGGACCCCAAGGCCCAAATGAACATCCTCAGATGATTTGCCAGGGCTGCCCTAGTCCAAGTGGCAGTAGGCAAAAGAACTTTATACAAGCTTGACATGGTGGTGCCTGCCTGCAATCCCAGCACTCTGGGAGGCTGAGGCAGGAGGGCTATACATTCAAGTCCAGCCTGGGCAACTTAGCAACTATCGAGACACTCTCAAAATAAAAATTAAAAAAGACTAGGGATGTAGCTCAGTGTGAAGGCCCTGGGTTCAAGCCCTAGTACCATACCATGCCATGAAGTGGTAGAGGGTAGTGAGAGGGGAGAAACAGAAGAAAACCCTTTCATTTCTTTGAAGAAGGCCCAGCAGTTTAGAGTGAAGGACATTTCAGATCGAGGGGAGGGCGGTATGAGAAGAGGTCAGGGCAGTGATGGCGAACCTTTTAGAGCTTTCAGTGATACAAACAGCCCACTGCTGCATGTGTGCCAGAGGTTCGCCACCCCTGGGTTAGAGGAAGAGGCAGAGGCCAGATTGTCCTGGGCCTGGCCCAGCAGAGTGCGTGGCTTGGCTCTTAAGTCTGTAGATGAAGTGTGGCAGGGTTTTGAGCAGGGAAGGTGACATGATAAGACTTCTGGGCTCGATGCATGTTATGTCTGTGTCTAGACCACCCCCAAAGCCTCAGAGGGTCAGAGGTAGGGCTTTTTCAAAGGCGGCTGGGTCTAGAGTGTGTGATGCTGGGATTAGGGTGTGAGTGCTACCCACCCTAAGGGCAGGTACCCTAGATAGAATATAGAGGGACAGAAAGAAGCTGCTATTGATTGTTGCTTGTCACTTGCAGCTCTCTTGCTTGATGGCTTCTGCTTGCCTACCCTGCCATGGACTGTTTCTTCTCTGCGACTCCCCTCTGCCATGCCACTGTGCCTTGGAGCCAGCCAATTATGGACTGAAACCTCTACAAACTGTGACCCAAATAAACCTCTCCTCTTTTAACTTTGGGTGTTGGATGTTTTTCGCAGCTATGAGAAAAGCAACTATGACAGTCAGCCTCTGTGCGAGCAGCTCAGAGAGGCGAGGGCAGAAGCAGGAAGAGCAGGTGGGCTGAGCAAAGATGATGGCTTCTCCCCGAGGATGGGGCGGTGAGGAGGGGCCGTGTCCTCCGGGGGCGCTGGGCTTGCTGGGCTGGAAGCATGTGGGGAAAAGTGAGGAGTGGGATGATGAGACTGAATGATGGCACCATTTCTCGGGTCAGACAGTGGAGGAGGTGGCAGGTGGCCAGAGACTGGTGAGCCGGGCAGCCCAGCTCCGACAAGGCAATGAAGGTAACTGACAAATGCTGGAGGGTTTTCTTGTTTAATTAAACTATTTTTGGAACAGTTTTTGATCCACAGAAAACTGAGAGGGAAGCAGAGGTTTCTCACACACCCATAACCCACACACACAGCAACCTCCCTTGCTATCAACATCTCCCTCCAGGTTGGGGGTATTGTATTACAGCTGTTAGCTAAAGCCATCCGACTTTATCACCAGAAGTCCCTCGTTTACATAGGCTTCTCTCTCGCTGGTGTACGTTCTGTGGATTTGGGCAAATGCACAATGACTTGTATCTACCAGAATGGCATCACACAGAGTAGTTTTTCTGCCATATTGTGCACTCACAATAGCTGAATCTTGGAAACAGCCTGAGTGCCCATCAGCAGATGAATAGGTAAAGAAAATGTGGTACATAAACACGATGGAGTACCACTCAGCCATAAAGAGGGATACATTTGAGACTTTTGTACAAAAATGGATCACCTTGAGACCATAATGCTAAGTGAAATAAATCAGACAAAGAAGTCAAATATCACGTGCTTTCTCTTATATGAGGAACCTAAAGTGTAAATAATTTAAAGAGCAAAAGAAAAGATAGATAGGAAACAGGGAGACGGATCTTTTGCAGATGGGGAGGGGATCTAGGGATGGAGAGAGAGGAGGAAGGAGGGGAAGGGAAGGAGAAAGGATTAAAATGATACATACATACACATATATATATATATCTCAACTCCTCATGAGGAATGTATTCATTATACATCACAAACGTGTACTAATAAAGATGTAAAAAATTCTGCTTCTCTGATTTGTCCCTCATCCCTGCCGACCCCTGTCAACCCTAATGCGTTGCTGTCTCTGGTTTTTCCTTTTCCAGAATGTCATACAGTTGGAGCTATATGGCCCCTTCAGACAGGCTTCCTTCACTTCGCAATATTCACTTAGACTCCCACTGCCTCTTTTTATACCTTCACAGCTCGTTTGTTTTCAGCCTGAACAGCATTCTGTTGTCTGGAGGAACCAGCGTATCCATCCACGTACCTGCTGGCATACTGAATGGTGTAAGACTGCTGTCAACATGTGCGTGCAGTTTTTTGTGGAGAGACAATCTTAAATTCCCAAGTCAATGCCAAGGAGCAAGGCTGCTAGATCACATGATAAGAGTACCAGGTATGATCAAAAATACTGTGGGTGTTTAAATTTTTTTTAAAAAGCTGTTGCAGTAAGAGACCCATTGCCATGAATCCCCTCAGTCCAAATACGCCCATCCCATCACTCTTGCCGCTTTCTGAAGCAGTTCTGCAATCCTCTTTCATGTCTTTAGTTGCACTGTCATGGCTGTGCCTTGGTGTCCTGAATTGATTTAAAACATTTACCTTCCCTGGTCATTCTGACTTTGGGAAAAGCCAGAATCTGCATGGTGCCAGATCCAGTGAATGAGGTGGATGAGGACACACCATGACTTTTTTTTTTTTATCAGAATTTTCTTTATTAGTACATGTTTGCGGTTCATAGTGATTATATTCATCACGGGGAGCTGGTACATGTACTAAACATCTTAAATCTTTTTTTCATCCCCTTCCCCTTCTACAACTCCCTGGCCTTGTGTTTTCTTTTATTTTGTTTTGTTTTGAGACAGGGTCTCTTTATATAGTTCAGGCTGACCTTGCACTCACTATCTGACGTAGGCTGGCTTCAATTTCACAGCAATCCTCCTGCCTCAGCCTCCCGAGTGCTGGGATTACTACAGGTGAGCACCTCCACGCCAGCGAGTGCTCTCTGGAGAAGGAAAGCGAGCCCTGTGGGCAAAGGCCGGGGAGCTCATCAGGATGGCCTGTGGTATTAAGGGCTTACTGGTCCCCTCTGAGCGCGTGCCAGCGCTACATGCCTTGCAGGTTTGCTCACGTAGGCCTCGAACTAAGAGCGACAACACCTCCATGAGGTGGGCACCACAGGGTTAGTAGCCTCATCCCAAAGGCTCGGGCTCAGAAGTGTTTCCAATTGCAGACTTTTTGGGTTTGGGGATTTTTGTGTGGACTTTACTTTTTGAACACAACACCAGCACTCAAAAAGTTTGAGCTTCTGGAGCATTTTGGATTTGGAGTTTTGGGGTTAGTGATATTTAACCTTCATTGCTGTATCCACTTATAGGGGAGGGACAAGACACACATAATAAGTAGCCGATTGGGATTATCTTCCAGTCTATCGATATGTCTGGCCATACTGACTCCAGAAATTACACCCAAAAAGGAAAGTTGCCTTAGTTTTATTAAATATGTTCTAGGTAGAATAAAAGGAGTAAAAGTTCTCTTCTGTTCTGGACTGGCCATTCTATAATTCATATTTAAAAGAAACAGAACTAGGCACAGTGGTGTGGACTTGAAATCCCAGCTCTCAGGAGGCTGAGGCAGTCAAGGATTCTGTCTTTCAGCCAGGTGTCATGGCACACAGCTGTGATCTCAACTACTCAGGAGGGTGAGACAAGTTCACAAGTTCAAGGCCAGCCTCAGAAAAGGCAAAAGCCTGTCTCAAAATACAGTTAAAAAGTTTTTAAAGGACTGGGGATGTGGCTCAGTGGAAGAGCGCCCTTGGGTTCAATCTCTGGTACTGCCCCAAAAAAGTTTTTTATGTCTCTGTATCTTAATTTCCTGTATCTAATTAATGGTTGGCCCCTAGTAATTTGTTTGATGATTCAATGAGAGAATGAATAAAATGGATAACGTGTGAGATAATGAAATCAAAACAAGAGACTTCTCCGCAGCATCGCGGGACAGGTGTGCAGCTTCCGGGATGACAACTCTGACTTCCTTCCTTCCTTCTTTTCTTTCCTTCTTTCTTTTCTTTCCTTCTTTCTTTCTTGTACTGGGGATCAAACTCAGGACCTTGCGCTTGTGGGCGCAGTGCCACTGTGCTAAATCCCCAGCCCTGACGTGCTTATTTCTGTTCAGCAGTCTGTCTAGCACTAGTGTACTTTTCAACACTTTTTAAAAAAACTCTCCCTATCATACTGAATATTCACAACCATGCCCTGAAATGGGGTATAGCATGATGATCTCAAAGGCGCTGAATGTGTCTGAGGTGGCATTCCAGTTAGAACCTCCTGTCCAGATTCCCCCCTAGCCTGGTGCTTCCCCCACATGCCCGGTCCGTGCTGGTCCCACAGGGCAGGGTCTGGTCTGTCTCCACTCCCCGTGGAACACAGCAACGCCAGGAAATTCCACAGCCTTGCTTTTGCATGTGGGAAATAAAGACACAGCCGTGGTTTCCGAGACTTCAAATATACATACAGTTTATGCTTGTAAAAGACACTGACATCAGAATTATGGATACTTCAACTTACAGACCCTCATCTGCAGTGTGCGATGCTTGAGGTTAGAGCCACCGTTAGTTCTCTTGCAGGAAATGTCAGAAGGGAGTGTCCAGGATATTAACCCTCATCAGGAACTTGTTTTTTTGAATGTCCTGGATGCTCACCCTGCCTGATACAATTTTTTCCCAGGATGGGAGATTCAGGACCGTGTGAAGCCACTGGTCTTCCATGAGCTCCGCATTTGAGTACCACCATTCCTAGGGGAGGGAAGGGCAGAGGTTAACCAGCGCTCTTCCCAGGGTGGAAGCAAGGCTGAATCCACAGAGAAAAGCGAACTCTGCTGTCCACACTAGGACCTGGACACTTCCTCCTTTAAATAAACACACATAATTCAACAATACTGAATATAAGGCTGGGCACTAAGCATGGTTTTGGCTTTTTTGGAGGGGAGGGTGCACACACTGGGGATTGAACCCAAGGCCTTCATACTGAGCTATACCACCAGCCCTTTCAATTTTTTATTTTGAGACAGGATCTCACTAAGTCGCTAAATTGCTCGGGATGGGCTCAAACTTGAGATCCTCCTCCTTCAGCTTCCCAAATGCTGGGATTACGGGTGTTTACCAGCATGCTGGACTGGTTTTTGCTTTGGAGGAGTTGCACTGGCAAAGGGAGGAAGGACTTGCAAACAAATGGCGCCCAGAGTGGACAGTGGTAAGGGCCATGGGAGAGGCAGACCCTACACTATGGGGATACCGATGACAACTTACAGGGGCCTCAACAAACCCAAACCATAAGCTGCCACCCCTTTTAGTGAGATGCAGCGACGCCTGTGGTGACTGCTCTGGTCAGAAGTGTGCAGCCCCACACCCCTATTCGTAGGCCCCAACTTGACCCGGAAGGTGATGGGGAGATGGGGTCTGGAGAGCGCCCCTCCAGGAGGGGGTTAGCGCCCTTACAAAAAGCTTCCGACAGGGAACACGCGCGGACACAGCAAGAAAGGGCCGGGAGCCCAGGCCTTCAGCAGTTGTCTGCTCCCCTGCCCTGGGTCTCGGTCGGTGCCCAGTTCCTCCGTCTCCAGGTCCCACACCCCAGGATGGCAGCGGAAGACCTCAGAACCGCTGGGCCGGGCTCCCGGCCTGCTGGGGCCGGCGCTGCGCCCACCTTGCTCCGGAGCAGCCAGCTCTTCTCCTGCGTGTTGCCCTGCGTGTTGGAGATCTCCATCGCTTTGCTCAGGAAGAGGTCGCAGTTGCGCCCGTCTCCCATGAGCATGCACACGTAGGCCATCAAGTGGTAGAGGCGCGGGTGGAACACGGCCCCGGTGGGCTTCTGAGACAGGAGATTCTCCAAGTTCTAAAGAAAAAATCACAACTATAATCAGAATCAGAAAGAAGATTGGGTTTTTTGGGTGGTCTTGGGCATTGACCCCAGGGCCTTTGCACTGAGTTGCATCTCCAGCCCTCTTTTATTTTTTTATTTTGAGAAAGGGTCTTGCTAAGTCACTAAGTTCCCCAGGCTGTGCTCAAACTTGAGATCCTCCTGCCTCAGCCTCTAAGAGTGCTAGGATTGATTACAGACATGCACCACCACACCTGGCTAGAAAGTCCTCAATTATACTTACTTCTTCCACAGATGATTTGGAAGCATTTTAAGGATATAAAAAATCAAGTGAGAAAGTACATTACAGAGAAATAAGTATTGGCAACAGAATGATAAATGTCAGGTGGAGTAGCTTCCATAGCTCACCCAGACAAAGGACCGTGGTATGAGGGCCCATCAATACTCCTCTGCAACAACATTTCTCCCTCTCTCTCTCTCTCTCTCTCTCTCAGACACACACACACACACACACACACACACACGCACTTTCTTCTGATTATCAAAGCAGAAGTTACAAGTTAACTGTTGAAAATTGGGGTGAGGAGCTGGCACCGTATAGAAATTAACAGACATATTGGTCTAGAAACGTTAAACTTAACTTTTTGGCATATGTACTGGGGTAATACACTGTATTAAATATGTATGGTCCAATCTCCATGGGTTTGGTTACAGAAACAAATAAAGTATTCTCTAAATAAAAGAAAAAGAAAATTTGGAGGGAGAGCATTCGCCAGTTCTGCATGTAAGGGGCTTGGAAATTACAAGGGGCCCCAGCACCAAGTTAAACCTGAATTGACTAAAAAACAAACACTGCTCTTGGATCCACTGGAGTGGTGGGGACACAGGACAGCCTGTGAGAGACAGACAAATGGGTGACTTCAGAGAGTTAAAGGGCTGTGGGGAGGGGCAGACCCCACAGTATGGTGATCCTCCTGCCTCAGCCTCCCAAGTGCAGAGATTACAGCTGTGTGCCACCATGCAAGAGAGGAAGGAACAGAAGAGATATTTGGAGCAATAATGACTAAGACTTTCCCCCAAATTAAAGTCAGACTAATCTGACACATGTGTATTAATGCATCAGTTGTTCACTGGATTGAGTAACTTGTTCAGTGAGAGTTCCACAAGAGGAGCAAACATTTCTAATAAAGTTTAACTTGATAAATGAGCCATGTCTTGCAATATGAGCAGCAAGTGGCGGTGAATGTCACATGATCACAGCCGAGCCAACGGTTCTGTCTGCGTGAGACAGTCTCGCTGTGCAGTCCAGGATGCCCTGAACTCAGGCCCTTCCTGCCTCAGCCTCTGGGCTTACAGGCATGTGCCACCATGCCCAGCCTCTCTCTACTCCTTTCTTGAACTTAAAAAAAAGCAAACTGCAATTTCCTTAGGATCCAAAACAACAGTTTACTGTCTTTGCTGTAATCCTAGTAGCACCCGTTATATTTTTAACCTATACTGTTTTGGGGATGGGTGAGTTTTACCACTTTACTACTCATTAAATAAAGATGCACTTTGGTTTAGTCACCCACTCTTCCTCTATCTGGATTTTCAGGGATTAGGTTGGCCATAAGTGAGGCCCACCTTTACCAGTCCTCAATCCACATTTAAAAGTCCTAATGACAACCAACTCACTTGTCAAATGCAATGCGCGTGTTATTGGAGGGAAAAGGGAAACTTGGAATGAAGTAGGTCATGTGTAATTTGTCAGAAATATTTTTCTGAATAACATGGACCGAAGCATATCCCAAATTCTCACAAGTTACCTTCTTGAGTGCCATTTACTCTATCAAATCATATTACACAATAATATTGTATATAACCCAGGAATTTCCATACCCTGAAAGAGCCAGCTGCCAGGCATGGTGATGCATGCTGGGAGTGCATCCCAGCACTTTGGGAGGCTGAGGCAGGAGTATTGAAAGTTTGAGCCTAGCCTGGGCAACTTAGCAACTGAGCTAGACCCTGTCTAAAAATGTTTAAAAAGGGCTGGGGATGTGATTCAGTGTGAAGGCTCTTGGTTCAGCCCCTAGATCCACAGTCAATCAATCAGTCAATCGATGTAGCAATTTCTGAGTAGCAAGGTAATGGGCAACACACATTTTCTTCTTCCTAGTTTTTCGGCGGCTTGTCTTAAAACCCCCTCTAATGCCACGCATCCATTCTGTCATCAGAAGGATGCTGGCCCAGGGCCGGAGAGAGAGCAGCCACACCTTGAGCAGCTGCACCCCGCTGTCCTGGGCCTTGTGGGATTGCTCTTCGATTTGCTTTTGGAGGTGGAGAACCTGCCCTTCCATGTACTTTACAGTTCCTTCATAGTAATCAGTCGTCAGGGTTCTCCGTGACACCAGACTTTTAGCTTTACTGAAGAAGCTGGAGAAGTTGTCCCACTCCTGAAGCCTGCCGTACCTGCACCACCACAGGGAGGAGGAGAATCAGTGTGGCTCTAGGATGGGCTGCCTTCCTGACACAGATCTCAGGGCTGGAGTCTGAACCCCAGTGGGGGAAGGATTAAGGCTCAGGCTTTGCGGGTTCCCAGGGCCCCGGTGCCCGAAGATGCCAGCCACACGAGGGATCCGCAGCAGCTCCGGGTCTGCTCCTCGCCCCACTCTCTTCTCCAGCAGAGACCAGCCGCTTGGTGGCTTGGGGAGAGACAACGAGGCACCAGAGCGAGGCCCCTTCTCTCCTCAGTGGGAGAGCAGTGAAGCCGCAAGGAGGATTAGTGCTGACCTCTGCCAGGAAGCAGAGACCCCATCGACTGTCTTCCCCTGGCTTCGCTCTTGGAGGGTGTGGGAAGGCAGGGGTGCTTTTTATTAGTCCCCTTCAAGCCCCAGCACGCCTCAGGATCGAGTCCTGCACCCTTCGACATCCTGCGCCCACCCCCGCAGGTGTGGCCAGGACCTTCTCTCCAGCGGGCAGTGTTCGCGCAGAGCTGGTGCACACCCTCATGGACCTTCAGACGCTTCTAGGTCACTTGTTTACCCAGCGCTACTCGAGTGCTACTTACATTGCTCTTGTTCTGTGTTGTTTAATGACAAGGAAAAGCCCATATGGGTACGGTACAACTGCAGTTTTTCTGCCCCGCAATAATTTCCGTCTGGATTTAGGGGCGTCCACACAGAGAGACGCCGTGGGTACAGACGAGGCTGTCTGTACTGTGGGCTTTTCCTTCTGTATCCCACACCACAGTGTGGGTGGTGACCTGCACAGTCTATGCCGGCACCTTCAAGCTGTCTCAGATACACGTTATAAACGCTTTCTTTCTCTGCTTTTTTTTTTTTTTTTCAGGGAACTTTTCAGGATGCAGCGTTTTCCTTTGGGGAACTGATTCCCAACAGAGCCTTACCAGATAGCCAGGTCCGAATAAAGTCCCAGGAGGATTCCGCTGTGGAACCGGAGGATGGTGTTCTCCTCCTGGAGGTTTATGAACTGCAGGCACTCCTCAAACGGTCTGTAAACGAAGCCTACAGGAGAGGGACAGGGGAGACAGAGAGAGAGAGAGAGAGAGAGAGAGAGAGAGAGAGAGAGAGAGGCATGAAGAGAGAGGTGTCCAGGGCTCCCACTGCCCAGGGAATTTGCCCCTGCCAGAAGCCCTCAGTGGTTACTTTGAGTCTTCAGGGACTCAACAGCCAACTCGCTGCACGGGGCTGCGGCCCAGCTGCTGTGGAAGTTACGCGTATCTGACACAGCTGCTAACTGCAGGCTGGCAGGAGCGGAGTTCACACTACCGCAGCCTAGCCCAAGTCTAAAGAAGACGCCTTAGCGTGGCCTGCGATTAAGTACATCCTGCTACAAAGGAAATACGGCGGCGAGCAAGGCAGCTAGGAAGACAGCCACCCAGGCTCACTCAGGCTACAGTGCCCCACCCTCGAGATTTAACTCCTTCCTGCTCCCCGCCCCTCTGCCGCTCCTCCCCCGCCCCCTCTCGCTCCTCAGGGGCCCCCAGCGGCTGCTTTTACATCCCCAAGCCACACGCACCACAATAAAGCATAAGGTCCAAGCAGACGAAATAGAAGTACGCCTTGCTGAAAATGTGCTCTTCTTCTGCGGACAGCTGCCACAGCGACTCCAGCACCTGGATCAGCTGCTTGTATCTGCGGAAAAGAATAAGTGGTGGGATTTAAAATGTCAAGAGAGGATCTAGTCCGGGCTGGGACTCCTCTTGGTCCTGTCCAGTAATTCGGAACCAAATACAACTCCCCCACCCCACCCCAGTATTGGAGATTACACTGAGCTGCATCCCCCCGGGCCTTTTTTCATTTTTTAATGTTGAGACGGGGTCTCGCAAAGTCACTGAATTGTGCAGGCTGGGTTCAAACTTGCAATCCTTCTGCCTCAGCTTCCTAGAGGGCTGGTATTACAGGTGTGCACCACTATATCTGGCTCCAAATACAGCTCATAAGCAGACCTCAAAACTGCAAACCGACCCCTGCTCAGGATGGGTGCGTCCATCTCCCGCTGGGTTTTCTGTGTGTTTTATCGGGGTCCCCCACACCAGCGTGACTGGAGCCGGGCCACACTGGCCTGGACCTTCAGTCCTGGCTGCTCCTCTCCGGCAGGGCGGAGGCCCACCGTGAATACCTGTTTCTCAGCAGGAGAGAGCTGGAGAGTCTGCAGAGCACGGAGCAGTACTTGTTGGGGTTCTGCAGCAGGGCCCACATGTTGTGAGCGCGGAAGCCTGGGAAGAAAAGAACCCCTGGCTGCTCGGCTGCCGTCGTGGAGTCTCCCGCCCGCCCCTGCCCCGCTAAGCCCTCACCTAACTCGATGGCCAGGTCCAGGTGACCCGTGAAGAACTTGATGTGACCCAGTTTGTAGGCCACATAGGCCACCATCTCGATGGCCTCGCCTTCCAGCGGGAGGCGGCAGATCCGCTCCACGGCCTTGAGCTCGTAGGCGAACCACGCACCCTGGTGGCCAGTCAGTTGGTGGAACAGCGAGTAGTCCAGGAAAGCCTTCAGGATCTGCAACAGCCAAGCCGAACCCCGGTGTGGAGGTGAAAATCGAGGGCAAGGAGGGATTGTCCTTTCCTTTATGCACTTCTGTGATTTTTCTTTCTTTTTTTGGCAGTACTGGGGGTTGAACCCAGGACTTTCACACTGAATTATATCCCTAGCCCTCCCTTTTATTTCTTATTTTGCGACAGAGCTTCATTCAGTCGCTAAATTGTTAAATTGTCCAGCCTTGGGCCGGGGATTTAGCTCAGTGGTTCCACCACCTGCCTCGCAAGCGCAAGGACCCAAGTTCAATCCCTGGTACCAAAAAAAAAAATTGTCCAGCCTGGGCTCAAACTTGCAATCCCCCTGCCTCAGCCTCCCAGGTGAGGATTACAGTGTCACTAGGCTGTTTACTTTGTTATAATGAGCATGTGTTACTTTTGTAATTTAACAAAAAAGAAAGGTTGATTTGGTTTTAGTTGTTGTTTAAGAAAATGTATGGAAGGACGGCTTGTAAACCTAATTGGAGATTTAAGAGAAGGTGGTCACTTTTGAAACAACTCTTTCAAATGGTAAAGTTGCTTCAGAATATAAATGCTTACAGAAGGGTGAGGGGAAAATAATTCCTTTTAAAGAATCGGATTTATTTTATATATATATCACAATAGGTGTAAGTAGCTTTGAAAAATACAGACATAGCTGGTTGTGGTGACACCGCCTGTGATCCCAGCACTTTGGGAGGCTGAGCTGGGAGGATTGCAAATTCAAGCACAGCCTGGGCAACTTTGTGAGACCTTGTCTGAAAATAAAAAATAAAAGGGGGCCGGGAGCGTAGCTCACTGGGTAGGGCAAAAAAGAAAAGAAAGAAAGAAAGAAGAGACAAGAAGAGAAGAAAAAAACAAAAGAAAAGAACACACAGGAGAAATGGAGACTCTCTAATGGTAGAAGTTTGAGGCAGTTGGGTAGGGGAGGCATTAAGAGCAGGGACTTTTTCCCTGTAATTCCTTAAACTGCACAAAATAAACAGTCTACTCATTCTGGTAAAGGCCAGTTGAGTATTTGTTAATTCACAAAGTTCATCTTGGCAAACCCCTTCCTGGTTCAGAACATGCATCAGAGAGGAAGGACAGCAGGAAGTGGTCGGGGAGGACACAGAATTGTCGGGACAAATAAAAAAATCCATGGCTGCAGTGAAGCCTGAGTCCTTGGAGCAAAACCCAGAGGACAGGGTCCGATGATTTCAGTACTGGGAGGTTCACAGCTGGAGATTATGTGGTTTGCCTGGGGTCACCCAGCCAGGAAAGCAGCTTCTCAGTTCCCACCCTGGGTCTATTCTCCTACAAGCTGCCGAACCCCGAGGAGCACTTCCCCGCTCTTCTGCTTTCTGTCTTAGCCACCCACCTACATTCCTTTCTTCTTTGTTTTGGTTTTCTACTTTTTTCTTTTTTGGTACCGGGGATCAAACTTGGGTCCTTGTGCTTGCGCAGCAGGTGGCAAAACCACTGAGCTAAATCCCTGGCCCCTTGGTTTTTCACTTTTGCAGTACTGAGGATTGAACCCAGGGCCTTCACACTGAGCTACATCCCCAACTCCTTTTTTTATTTTTTAGTTTGAGACAGGATCTCGCCCAGTTGCTAAATTGCCCACACTGGGCTCAAATTTGTAATCCTCCTGCCTCAGCCTCCCAGAGTGCTGGGATTACAGGTGTGTGCCACTGTGACTGATAGCAAGCATTTTAATTCACTTTCCATTTGGACTTTTCCCTTTATCCTCCCCTCAGCCCCAACTCCATCACAGTTGTCAGGAGAGTCATGAGAGAGGAGAAGTAAAGTTTGGCACGCGTTTGCTGAGGACTGGCTGTACTCTGGGCACTGCTCCCACAGTTTAGGAGGTGTGAGGGACAGCAGGCAGCCCCCTGCCCTCACAGACTTAACCCACTAGTAAGAGAGACAGACTGTGCACTAATAAAGGAGAAAGCACGAAGATGTCAAATGGCCAAACACCAGGAAGATGCTGGATGAGAGTCAGGAAGGCCTCCCGGAGGAGGTGACCATTAAACTGATAAGCAGTCAGCGGTAGGGACCAGGGATGGACACTCCAGACAAAGGCAGCGTCTAAGGTGAAGACTGGCTTGAACCTGGAGTTGGAGGAGCCCAATGCAGAGGACCCTGGTGTCCCAGGAACCGGCGGGGACTCAGTCATTACAGTTTCATAAACACTTCCCCATCTGTCCTTCCACACTGAAAGGAACTAATACTGGGGACAGATTCCTGGCTAGGAATCTATGCTCCTCCAACACAGTGCTACTTGACCCTGCTCCTTTGTTTTTTGGTACCGGGGATTGAACTCGGGTCCTTGTGCTTGCACAGAGGGGGTGAAACAACTGAGCTAAATCCCGGCCCTCCCCCGCTTTGTTCTTGATAGCATTGATTCTAGGAGGAAGTTATTGACCCAGAAGAAATTAGAACATTTATCAAGAAGCTGGGTCACTCTCATTACATGAGTTGGATTTGGCCTAATAATTTCTTGCTCTTGTCTGTCTCATGGAGACCTCATCTAATCAGAGGCTTCCAGTTGGCGACCTCAACTAGTGGTTCTCCCAGTCGGTCCTGGGACCTCTGTGAGTCCCTGAGACCCTTTCAGAGGGCACACAAGGTCCAAGCGAGTTGCACAATATCAAGGCATTGTTTGTGTCAGGAAAAACAGTGAAGGGCCTTAAAATGGGCCAGAACAAAAACCTGGCGGGAGTCCTGTCCAACTCACCAGCCAAGGTTCTCTCTCTGCCAGTGTCTTTGGGCTATTTTACAACTCTATATGTTGTAGAAACTGGGAGTAATATAAATTCCCCTCCTAGAAATGTAAATGTGGGGAAAAGCAGGAGTGAAGATCGCTGCTACCAGACTAGTCTTGTAACCATTTGTAAGTTGAATACACACTGGAATGAGTTGTGAGCTCTTACTAGTTCTCTCCCTGAGCCAAAATCTTCCTCATGCTTTCTTTTTTAGTGATTCACAATTCTCTTTTAAAAGAGAATCACCAGGCTGCACATGCAGCTTAGTGCTAGGTGCTGGCCTGGTATGTTCTGATCCCAGAACTGCAACAAACAAATCACTGGGAACTGTCCTTGAATATTTTCCTTTTTCGCACTCATTCTTGGAGTATAACTGTGGAGTTTTCCAGAGGCAACATACGCGATCTTGCTACAGAATGAAGGTGGAAGAATCCATTTACTTTCTATGAAGCCAGGCATTAAGATACTTGCAAAAAACAAACGAAAAATTTTTTTTTCTTTTTTTTGCAACACTGAGGATGGAGCTCAGGGCTTTCACGCTGAGCTATGTTCCCAGCTTTATTTATTTATTGTTTATTTTTGGCAAGCTGGGCTCCAACTTGTGACCCTCCTGTCTCAGCCTCCCAAGTGCTAGGATTACAGGCCTGGGCCACCATATCCAGCTCCTTTATTTTTATTTTTGAAACAATGCCTCACTAAATCACTAAGTTGCCCAGCCTGGGCTGGAACTTGCAGTCATCCTACCTCAGCCTCCCCGAATGCTGACATCACAGGTGGGGACCACCAAGCCCACCTTACTTCCAAAAATGTAGCACTGTGCCTGCTTAACATTTTATTTTTTTGTTTAGAGAAATAGTTTTTAAAAAATGAAAATGTTAATTCTGTTCATATATAATGTGCTTATGGCTTTAAAAATATTTTTGAAAGTTCTGTTTTTGTTCTGTGATAATATCAATATATATAACCCATATAAATAAAAGCCACTTGGAATCCTCAGTAATTTTTAAGGGTGTAGGTGATCGTAGGACCAAACTTTTGTTCGTTTTTTGTTTTTTGAGACAAGGTCCCACTGTGTAGTCCAGGCTGGTCTTGAACTCACTATGTAGTCCAGGGTGGCCTCAAACACATGGAAATCCTCCTGCCTCAGCCTCCTGAGTGCTGGAATTATAGGCATGTGCCACTATGTCCGGCTAGGTGCCAAAATATTTCAGAACTGCTCTAGTCACCTGCTTCTTTTTTTTTTTTCATATCCTCATGACTTTGAATCCCATTTGGCTTTTGCTAAGGTTTTCTTTCCAAATGAGATTCAGAAGTTGAAAAAGCAGCTACAGAACCACCCTACCTGGAAATCATTTTGTGTCTCCAGGGCAGTGTTCACCTGCATCATAGCTGTTAGGTGGGCATAATACTTGTGGTGAAAATAATCATCCATGCTGTAGATCTTCCACAGCAAGGAAAAGCAGACCACCTGCTGGTAGAGTTCTGCCAGCCTCTTCTTCCTATTAGATAAAGTAAAACAAAGGGAACACAGGAAGAAGGCAGGGCCATCTTCACAGTTGTGAGGTGTAGAGGGATGGGCTTGGGACTCCAGCCTGACTTGAACTTGAGGCCTGCCCCAGGGTAATAAGAGCAGTCACTTTTAGGTTATACGTTTCCTCTGTTGTACAATGGGGGACCATAAAACTCACTTGTGATGCTTCAGATAACGCAGGTAAGGCACCTGGGCTAGGTAACTGCCAATTAAATGAAGCTTTTTTTTTTTTGGTACTGGGGATGGAACTCAGGTCCTTGCGTGTGTGGAGCAGGTGGCAGAACCACTGAGATAAATGCCCAGCCCAAATGAAGCTATTTTTAAAAGCACACTGGTATCATGCATCACATTGAGTCTGATGACAGCCCTATACGGAAAGAAGGCATAGTTAGCCCCATTTTACACATGAGGAACATGAAACTCAAGACAGGTAAAGTAACTCAAAGTCTCACAGCTAGAAGGCAGAGGTGGCAGGACGTAAGTCCTGTCCACCTCCAGCCTGGCCAGTCCCATACATTATGTCCTCCATTGCTCAGCTCTATTAGAAGTGAGGTTTCCACTTAACAAAAGAAATGTGCACTTTTAAATTTATATATATATTTGAGACAGAGTCTCGCTTTGTAGCCCAGGCTAGGTTCAAACTTGTGAGCCTCCTGCCTCAGCCTCCTGAGGGCTGGGATGACAGGCATGGGCCACTGTGCTCAGCAGGACCATAGACATTCGGATGTTAAATGTTGTTTCGGGCAAACAGAAGACCACGCTTTGGGGGTTGCTTGCACCATGGGAAGGGTGGGACCCTCTGCTGTCCCTAGCTCCTCCTCTTACCCTGGTTGGGGGCTGTCTTGGACCTGCTGGTTCAAATAATGGGAGTGTTTCTTTTTCTCCATGTGATCATGGAAGAATAGAGAAAATAAGTTGTGAGGAAAGACGCAGTTGAGGAGCTTCAGTGCCTTCTTCAGCGTTTTCTTGGCAAGCACCATCTGGCCCATATTAAAGCAGATCTGCAGGGAGAGGGGAAGGAAGCGAGGAAAGAGCAAATGCAATGATTCTGGACAAGGCCGGCAGCTTCTGACGAGAGCCTCTGCGGGGATTCTTGCCAAAAAGCTGATCTGTGGCCTAGGAAGAGAATCCTCCATGCTGGGCATCATGTGACAGGACAGTGTAGAAAGGAAGGTTAATGCCCAGGGCATGGCTTCATATTTGTGCGCCATTCTTCTCTAAGGAAATGTTGGCTTATTCGAGTTCCTTTTTAGAGGTTGTGATAAATGTACATCAGGAAGCTGTCAGCCTGGAGAACAGGGAAGGTCTAGCTGCTGGGAGGTGGCAGTGAGGGGGTTTCAGTCCCATGCCTTGGGGTCCTGGAGTCTTCGAGAGGAATGGCAGGGGTTGGGAGGATGCAGATCACCTAAGGATGACTTCTTCTACAGAAAGGCCCAAGGCAAATAACTGATTCATTCAAGCCTTTTTTTTCCAGTACTGGGGATTGAACCCAGGCCCTTTGCAATGAGCTACATGCCCAGTCCTTTTTATTCTTTTTATGGGGAGAGGGTGGTCTCACTGAGTTGCTGAGTTGCCTACGGTAGGCTTGAACTTATGACCCTCCCGCCTCAGCCTTCCAGAGTGCTGGGATTACAGGCTTCACCACCACAGCCAGCTAATTCATGTCATGCCTTTAATGGTTTCTTACCCGACCTTTGAGGGTATAAAAAGTAGCCAACTCGAAAGTCTGATTCCAAGATTTTTCCCTCTTGAGTATTCTCAGCAGCCTATGTCCCTCATTCAAATGCACATATGCCTGCAATCAAGATGCAGAAGAGAAACAGGTTGAGTTGGCTCAACACTTGAGGGATCCGGGTGACAAGGGGCAGCGGACCCCGACTCTGTTGAAGGAAAGGAAGCAGGAGCCAGCCCAGGCATGGCATGTGCCTCTATTCCCAGCTCTGCTATCTGAAAGGGCCTGCAAACTCGAGACAGGAACAAGATGGAGGAAGCTCTCAGTGGCACGCCTACCCTGTCCTGGACTCGCCATCGAGAGGACAAATCTGCAATTCCCACTTCAACTGCTGTCACAGAAGCTGCCTTAGCAGAAGTCTCCAGGCTGGGGATTTAGCTCAGTGCTTCTGCTGCCTGCCTTGCAAGCGCAAGGTCCTGAATTCAATCCCTGGTACCAAAAAAACCAAAACCAAAACCAAACCCAAAAGTCCCGTCCCCCACCCCGCCACGCGCAACTTTCTCCTCTCAGTAATTCTACCCCCAACCTCCCATTCCCAACAGGGTACCCACTGCCCTGACAGCATCTCCACATCTATAAGAAGCAGGTCTCCACTCTGGAATGAGTTATGAACCACCTCCACCTCCTTTGCCAGCAGCATCTTTCGGAAGCTGAAGAGGAAGGTAAGACTCGGAGCAGCTGTGATAGCTAAGCTGCGCGATCTGCTAGATTGGCTTGGGCCTATTGGATTGGTAGACCACACTCCTGGTGTGCCAGGGTGGGTCCTGGGGCATGACCTTGTGGACTATATCTGGTCCCTGGCCCCCTCCTCTCTGGCACTGATTCTCTGCTCCGCTTCCTGGCCACCATAAACTGAGCAGCTTTCTTCAGCCATGTCCTTCTGCCTTCATGTTCCTGTCTTGGAGCCAGCTGGCCACGGACTGAATGCCCTGAAACCACGAGTAAAAAGAAACCCTCCTCCTCTGGGTTGTGGATGCTGAGTATTTGATCCCTGCAAAGAAAAGCTGAGCAATACAGGGACTCTCTTCACTTCATCCTCAGACAGATGAAACTTGGAACATGTGAACACCAAGACAAGATCAGATTTGAGTAAAATAAGGTGACCCCATGTCTCCAAGTCTCCTGTGGCCATGGGGGAGACAGGAAGAGAAGGCATGATGTGTTGGCCTCACCCAGTCCAATCAGATTCCCTCTGATGAGAGACAAGGAACAAATGACACATTCTGGAACCTGGCACTGGGGCTATGCTCTGAATTATTGTCCTCCTGACCACTCATCACTCCTTGTAGGGTGAAGTAGGGCATGCACAGGTTTGAGAAAGTTGGCCCCGAGGCTAGTTGAACTTCCCCATCCTGACTCTCATTGGCCACATCCTTACCTCTATGCTGAGTTTGTGCATCAAATATGCAGGAGACTTGAGAGAACAGAGGTGGACTGACATATTAAATAGTTTATTTATTTTTTTGGTATGGGGAAATTGAACCCAGGGCTTTGGCACTGAGCTACATCCCCAGCCATTTTAATTTTTGAGACAAGGTCTAACTAAGTTGCCTAGGGCCAGGGATTTAGCTCAGTGGTTTTACCGCCTGCTGCGCAAGCACAAGGACCTGAGTTCGATCCCCAGTACCAAAAAAAAGAACAAAAAAAAAAAAGAACATCAATAACTAAGTTGCCCAGGTTGGCCTTGAACTCACGACCCTCCTGCCTCATGTGCTGGGATTACAGTCGGGCACCACCATGATTTTTAAGTTTCATATAAATCTAAGGTATGAAGGTAGACCAGGCTGCTGTGTTCAGCAGCAATGGTAACACAGGGACTGGACCCACGGTGTGGGCAAGACCTGCACAGGCAGCCTGGCATGTGAAGCTGGCTGGCGCTGGAGGAAGTGAGCCCACGGAGGCATTTCCTCAAGTGACTTCCCGGAAGTCAGCGCCGCCAGCTGCTCTGTGAAAGTGATTTAAGGTCAACTAAATCTGCAGAACAGTCTACCTCAGCCCCGGTGTGACCCTCCCCTGTCTATCTCCAGGGAGACCTTTACGGATCTTAGCACATCCAAGGCTCCGTCCATCTGCGGTGAAGAAACTGACCTTGCTCTATTCAGCTCAGCGCTGCCTAAGACACTGACCAATGAGCTCTTCCTCTTCACTGTGTGTATCAAATCTTCCCATTTTAGGGCATGTGGCCCTGGGACCTTCCTTACAATATCACGGGTGCCTCAGCAGGCAGAAGGTATTCATGTGTGTGATCACTGAGCATGAGTTGCCCAAAGATGAAAGTGGGCCCGCTTCTCGGGGGAGACAGGATTCAAGCGCAGCTCCCGAAAGATCGACAGGTATTTTATGCTCAGAGGTATTTTGGGACAACCAGGCAAAAGCCCCTGGGGTGTCACTGAGGAAGACTATGCAGACTGTACTGAAGCACTGCTACCCAGAGTCCTCTCTGTGACACCTGGAGAAGGAAGACAGAACCCCAGGCCTCCCATGCAGGCAGACGACTTGTGGCAAAGCTCTAAGGTGGCGTATGTTCAGTGGAGTATGGTGTCTGCTGCAGTGTCTTCCACTGCTCTTTTCTCAGTGTTTATCCTTTCCTTTCCAAGCAATGTGCTTTTCTTTTTTGTTTTGTTTTTTGAGACAAGAGTCTCACTCTGTAGTCCAGGCTGGCCTTGAACTCACTATGTACCCTAGGCTGGTGTCAAACTCACAGCGATCCTTCTGCCTCAGCCTCTTGAGGGCTGAGATTAGAGGCGTGCACCACCATGCCTGGCCAGCAATGTGCTTTTCAAAGGAAAGGGATGGACTTGGAGACACAAAGTGATCAAAAGGCACCCTGGCGCTCCTCTTCTGATTCTGCGGTGTGTGACTTACCGCTGGGCAGGAGGAGGCCCGGGCGCAGGCGGCTTACCATGTAGTTATCACCCAGGAGGAGGCAGGCGGATGCGATTTCCAGGAAGTAATACAAGGCCTTGTGGTTTTCTTCCAAAGCCACAAAGTGCTGGGCCAGGGGCAGCATGGTGATGGTGAGGACCTCCTCACACTGGCAGGACTCCTGGGGGAGGACAGTCTCCTCTCCCTCCTTCATTTTGGTTATCACTGTGTCGAAGAACCCCAAGATCTGTTCCCTTACCTCCTTGGGGCTGTTCAAATGCAGAAATCAATAGAGACAAATAAATAATAGACACAGCACAGCTTTTGACAGGAAAATATCTTTGAAAACTAGTAAGAACAAGACCAGAAAACCAAACATAGATGCTACCAACCAAACCAACACGCTCAACCCTGACATTTCCCCACCATCGCTCCGAGGCCAAAGGGACTGAGCACAGAGTGATGCGAATGGTGAACCCCCAACAAGTGCTTGTGCTCTGCCTCCTACGCGTGTGTGGCTGTACCTGAGGTCTTCAGGAAATAGCTCGGGTTTCTTATGAAGGTCTAATTTAGGAGCCAGGGTCTCTTCTTCAGCTAGAAAATAAATAGACAGACGAGACGTGTGGGTCACTGCCGTGCTCCCCATCGGGGAGGGGACTCCTGCGCGCTTCTCACTGTCCCGGGTTGCTGCCATCGCCAGGGACTGCACAAGCCCGTCCCCTGGCCCTCCAGTGAGACCCTGTGCCTGGTTCTCACGGCAGATCAGAGGTGCAAGATGCCACCTCTAGGCTGTGATGGTTCTGTGTCCCCTCTACCCTCCTCCTTCCCCAGGAAAGCAACTAGTTCATTTCTTTTTCTTTTTTCTTTTTTTTGGTACCAGGGATGGAACTCAGGACCTTGTGCTTGCCAGGCAGACACTGCTGAGCTACATCCCCGGCCTGAAAGCAACCAATTGCTGAGTCCCTGCAGGAGCCTCCTCCTCGGGAGGAGCCGAGTCTCTGACTACCCACGAAAGCCCTCTGTCCAAACTTTCCCTGATCATGACAGGGGCAGGAAATAAACTGTTGCACCCTTGTGTCAAGCCACTGAAACCCCAGGGTTCACAGAGCTGTGACATTCTCCTCACATCTGCCCTGCAAGAGCTAAAACGGCACTTAACCATGAACTTAACAATGCCAGTTTCTAGTGGAAAAATGGAGATATTTAAATGAAATAACTCAAAAGGCTAAAGAGAGCAGAGAATCGGTGGGTGTGGTCGTGCACAACTGTAATCCCAGCACTCAGGAGGTTGAGGCAGGAGGATTGCCACAAATTTGAGGCCAGCCTGGATGGGCTGCTACATAGTGAGTTCAAGGCCAGACTGAACTGCATAGAGAGACCCTGTCTCAAAAAACCAAAAACTAAACCAAATCAAAACAAAACAAAACAAAACAAACATCTCAAAAAGAAATCTCTCCACAGTACATTACTTGGTTATGTAATGGGCATTTATGTAGTCTTAACAATGTAGACATGGTTATCTAATGCTATTAACATAATACAGGGGGCAGTTGGGCATGTTGGTCCTTGTCTGTAGTCCTAGATACTCAAGAGGCTGAAGCAGGAGGATCCCTCTTAACCCAGGAGTTCAAAATCACCCTGGGACATATAGTGAAACCCTGTCTAAGGAAGAAGGAGGAGGGACAAGAAAGGAGGAAGAGGAGAAAGAGGAGCAGAAGGAGGAAGAGGAAGAGGAAGAATATATACATAGAGAGGGAGAGTGCTAAGGAGTGGTATAACAGAGTGATATCCTCATCTGCCATAGCAAGAAGGAAGCAAATAATGTCAGATTTTGATTTTTACATGTTAGTGAGCCTAGCTACTTGGGAGGCTGAAGCAGGAGGATCACAAATCTGAGACCAGCCTGGGTAATATAGACTGTTAAAAAAAAAAAAAAAAAAAGGAGTGAGTCTAGGAATGTAGATCAGTTATAGAGTTCTTGCCTGGCATACGTGAGACCCCAGTACAGCACCCACACACACACACACACATACACACACACACGCACACACACAGAATGTGAAAAATAGCAGTACTTACATGCCAGTTAGTATACAGAAGTAATGCCTGGAGAGATCAGCTAAGTTACAAATGCTTGCCTCTGAGAAGAACTACTGAAGGTGATGTAGGGCATTTGGTCATGCAATTAGTGTTTTATGATAAAACTTTTAGAAAGCGCGCGTGTTTGTGTGTGCACATGTGTGTTCTGAGACAACTCTCACTATGGAGCCCAGGATGGCCTTGAACTCGCTGCAACCTTCCTGACTCATCCTCCCTGCTGTGGGGATTACAGGCCATCACGCCTGGCCTTTTTTGTTGTTTGTTTAAACCTTTCCTTCCAGTCTGTCTAGCTGACAGCCTTTGGACAAATGACAAATTCCAGCTGGAACAATTGCAGGTCCTGGCCTCGAACAGGCAGAGTTCCCGAGGTGAGAACGTCAGCAGACGTCACTCAGAGGCCTCTGGTCCCAGGTGCTCCGAAGCGGGGCTGCCAAGCTCTGTTGCAGGGCCCAAAAATACCTGCGACCGTTGTCTTTGATGACCCTAGCCAGCCCTTCAAGGTCAGTGCTGAGACCTGCCTATCTGCTAGCTTCCAGCATACTACAATTCCCAAAATAAAATGTGGCTCTCCCTCCCCTGGCTAATTCTCTCTTACGCATATTTTTTTTTTGCACTGGAACCTGTTTCACACTCGACCCCCCAAGTCAGAACTTTGCTGTTCCGAGTTGGACATCGCTCCCTTCCCTGTCCCCTGGGTCCTGTTCCTTGCTGTGAATTGAGACCTATGCCTTGTGCCTCCGCCTGGCCCCGCTTCACTCGGCCTGCACCCCTGTCCTTGAAGCCCTCCCTGATGGCCTCACCGCTCCCCTGAGCTCCAGGTGCCTGTCCAGGCCCTCCCTTCCCCTGGGGCCTGAGACGCCCACATCTGGGATTCCTTGTGCCTGGGTCCTCGGGCCCCAGACCTACTCCTAGATCTCAGCCTCCAAGTGCCCCAGGAATAGTTATGGTTCGTTGGGAACCAGGGTAGTTTACGTTGATGACTGTGGGATTTAACCAGCTCCCTCATGGTGCCTATGTCCAGTTTGTTGAGGCAAATGTCCACCGCGAAGTGGTGATAGGGAATGAAGTTGGCGCCTCGGCAGCGGCCGCATCGGTGGGCATTTTCCTCCAGGAAGTGGGCACATTTCAGATGCATGGCTTTCTTCTCGTCCTTGAGCCACAGCTCGTAGGCTGTCTTCTGCATCATAGGCCTGCAGAATCGGATGATGTGGCACTGGATCACCTTGTTGTACAGCTCCTGGAACCCTTTGTCATCTAAGGAGACAGACACGGCTGTTCCACCAGGCAGTGGGCCACCAATCAGCTCCTGCTGCCTAAAGCTGATTGGCACCCGGGGCTCACTTCCGGGCATACTTACCCATCCCTTTGCCGGGGTTCAGGGACAAGGAACGATGATGTATCTCGAAGGAGGCATCCTGCTGCTGGGCCAAGCGCAGGTCCTTGCCATTCTGGAAACAGACGAAGACATCTGCTTCCACCAGGGTGGTCAGGGCCTCGATCATCATCTTCACGTCCCAGCAGGGCAGGATCTCGAAGAGCATCTCCGTGGTGCAGGTCAGGCCTGTGATGGCTGCACACCTCACCAGCATCTGGTGGGAGAGGCTCATGCTGTCCAGCTGGATCAAGGAGACTTCTGCGGGGGGAGCCACACACGGGACCCCGTTATGGGTGTTCATCACAACCACCCCTCTGCAGTCCTGAGGTGCAGGGACCCAACTGATTGTGAATCTCACTCACAGACCTGTTTATGCTGGGACTGCAGAACATGCATACGCTATCGTCTAGAAATACACACGAACAAGAACGAGATTGACTCAGAGATACTGAGATTCTGTGTCAAAGTGTGACCAGGGACCAGCCGTGAGGCTCTTGTCTGTCATCCCAGCAGTCTGGGAGGGAGGCTGCTTGACTTATGGAGACCCTGATTTAAAATTAAAAGGGACTAGGACTGTAGATCAGTGTGAAAGCCCTGGGTTCAATCCCCAGTCACACACACACACACACACTGTGACAAGGGTGTGGGAGGAAAGGAGAGGCCATGGTACGCCACAGCAGTCGAGCCTGCTGTCTTAGTCACTTTTCCACAGACAAGGCACAATACCTGACACCCACAACTCAAAGGAGAAGAGGTTTGTTTTGTTTCATGGTCTCAGAGGGTTTGGTCCATGGTCGGCTGGCTCCAAGACAGAAATGGCGCCGTAAGAGCACGTGGAGGAGAGCTGCTTAACCCATGGCAGCCGGGAAGAGGGGGAGAGCAGAGGAGCCAGGGACAGGAACGCACCCTTCCAGCTCAGGCCCCCAGTGCCCACCTCCACCAGGCCCCACCTCCTAACAGTATATTCAGCTCCGAACTCATCAATAGATGAATCCACTGACGAGTTTAGCGCTCATGACCCAAGCTCCTTCCAAACACACTTTGAAGTTTCATTCTAGATCTAAACCATCTGCTATTCCATTTTTTTGGTTTGTTTGTTTTGAGACAGGATCTCACTATATATATAGTTCAGGCTGGCCTCAAAAGCGAAGTGATCCTCTTGTCTCAACCTCCTAAGTGCTGTGATTATAGGTGTGCGCCACCACACCCAGCAACCACTTGCTATTCCTGTTCTTTTTTTTTTTTTTTGGTACCGGGGATTGAACTCAGGTCGTTGAGCTTGCGAGGCAAGTGGTGGAACCACTGAGCTAAATCCCTGGCCCTCCTGTTCTTTTTTGACTTCTCCAGCTGGTCCTCTCTAGCTTCTTCATTGGCTTGTTTTTTCCTGGAACTTCTCAGTAATAAGGCTTTTCTCTATCTGCCCCAGAGATTCATTTATTCTCATGACACACATGACATCTCTATGCCATGAGCAAGTGTCACAGAATTCATGGCTTTAATCCCAATATCTCATCAGTCGCAGTAGCAAGCCTGGCTTGGTTGTGCACATCTGTAATGCCAGCACTCTGAGAGGCTGAGCCAGGAGGATCACAAGTTCAAGCTTAGAACGGGCAACTTAGAGACATGGTGAGACCCTATCTCAAAAATCAAAAATAAGAAATGGCTGGGGATGTAGCTGAAGGCCTTGGGTTCAATGCCCAGGACTTCAAAAAACAAAACAAAACAAAAGTTTCAGCATCAGAGTTCTGGTGGCTTCCTAGGTGTTCTGACAAAGATGTCCTTACACTAGAGACAAAATGTCAACTTCTCAAATTGTCCGAAGAACACAGTAGAAGCTGTTTGCCCACCTTCCAACTGTGTGTGGGGAATGAAACTGAAATGACACTTATTTGAAGCCAGAGAGGCTTCAGCTATCCCTAGGGCACTCTCGTAAATGTTTAAAGTTACTTGGGGCTGGCATGGACTGAAGCTGGAGGCACACCAGAGAAGCGCTTTAAAGTCATTTTCCTTTCCAAGTCTAGTAATACATTTCTGATTGTTTCTTTCTTATAAAAGCAGACGGCAGAAAATGTCTCAGTACTGTATTTGATTTGTGTCATCCCCCCCTCCCCGCCGCATTCTGGTTTATTTAATCAGAAACTCACTACACTCCGCTCTTTTACCAACTGAATAAACCTTGGTTCAAATCAGACCCCAGAACAGGTACAGGGGGAGGGAGGATCCTAATTAGAAGGAGGAAAACCAGCCTCCTACGCCGCCTTCCCACTACCCGGGACAATCCAAAATCCAAGAGCCCATGACTTTATCCTGCTCCTTTGGACAGTCATCCTAGAGAAAGCAAAAGTGGAGCTGAGGAGAACAGGAACACACCAGGTCACATTTTCCAAATTTTCTTTACCTTTTAATGAGGTTGGGAGTGACAAGTTTTTCAGTCTGACACCACTTGCAAGGGTACAGACAACGTCATTTCTCTCCTCCACATTAAAATATATTTTTAATTCATCCGTTGACTTAACGAAACTCTCTATGGGGAGATAAAGGGGAAGAAAGATTGTGAGTCATTATCTTTGACTTAAGAAGCCTGATTTTCTGATAAACACTGAGTTGGGTCCATGTAAGAAAGAGTGACCAGGGGTGTGTGTTGGCTCATCACATATTCCAGAACACCTTGTTTCAAGGAAAACTGAAATCAAACGTATAAAAAATGTTTGTCATAGAAACAGTTTTGCAGAAATTGAATTTTCAGTGCACTTAGGTTCGATCTCATAGCACTCAGTAACTCATACTTGTATGCACGTTTGCTACCCTGCCCTAGTCTTGTACAGTTAGTTCCGACTTATGAACATTCGAGTTGCGAACTTTCACAGATAGGAACAGACCTCGTATTACATAGGTGCAAACAAGTCCCGGAAGTAGCTCACGCGTCTGCCGACCATTGTCAGGGCTGTGCTGCGCGTGTTCACTGTACAGTGCGACCGTACACAGCTGTTCGGTGTTCACTCGGGGGTCGGGATGTCCCCGAGCAAGAGGCAAAGAAAGCAGTGTCGAGGCGGGGGTTTGGCTTTTTTATGCTGTACGTTGTGTCAAAGGTGTAGGAGACTCACTTGGTCAGACTTCCGAATGTTCTCCTGGAACAGAACTCGTCTTTAAGTCTGGGGTTTCCTGTACCTCACAGGTGACCCAGCTCACTGTCTCCCCAACCCCGATCCTGCTTACGCGTGAGAACAGGATTCTGAGGTCTGCCTTCAGGTGGGCTAGAAAAGCCCGGGTGGATCTGAGGGGCCACCAGATTTGGAAACCTCCTGCCTCAGAATCCCAGAATGTTTGAGCTGGTCATTTTACCTCTGAGAAATACGGATTTTTTTTTTCCTCCCTAGGTGACACGCACAAGGAGGCAGGGCGTGGCAAAGCTGGCTGGGGAAATAAGCAGGTCAGGTGGATTATAAAATCCCAGGTCAGTGCCAAATAATTCCCAGGAGCCCGTATGTAGAACTTCTCGTGGGTTCCTGCGAGATGTGGACGGCATATAAAACACAGACCTCAAGGGCCAGGGATTTAGTTCAGTGGTCTTGCTGCCTGCTGCGCAAGCTCAAAGACCGTAGTTCGATACCTGGTACCAAAAAACCCCCCCAAAAACCACAGATCTCGAGGTGCCGGCTAGCGTGACTCCTCACCTGGACTGAGGTGTACTTTCATTTTTGCTCTTTTTCTCTTTCCTTTGACCCAAGTTCCCTCTGCAGAGCCAGTTTCTCCCTTACCCCTTCACCACTCACTTTTCAAATAAACTTTTGGCATCGTTTTTGGTTTGTCTTCTTCAATTCTTTGTTGGAGGCCAAAAGGACCTGGGAAACTTTCACTGGCAAGCCATCATCGCTAAAGAAACGACCTGCTAACACTTCCGGTTCGGACGCCGGGCCTGGAGATTCGCAGTGTTGCTCCGTGCCGGTCACAGGCAGGCGGCCTTCCCTGCTGTCTGCGGAGGCCCAGCTTTGGTTTCGTGGGGCCCCCTTCGCCATCTGACCCTACAGGACGTGCCCGGCGGAAGAGGCCCCACGCCGCCTTCTCCACAGAAGGCCTGGCCACAGAGAACAGCCGGACAGACCGTCATGTCTCTGAGACTTACTGAACATGTTATTCCAGGTCACGGTGGACTTTTCCTCAGACTCCCTCGCTCGGAAAAGGAGCACCTTGTGGTGGTCGAGGTTTAGCAGCAACTCTTGACAGTAAGAGGGAATCCCGCAGCTCACCTCCACCAGGTACCTACAGGGCAAACAAGGCAACCACTTTGCGTTAAAGAACAGCTTCTACTTCTTTTTTTTTCTTGAGACCTCTGTAGTCCAGGTCTTAAACTTGCTATGTTTATGTTAAACTTGCTAGGCTGGCCTGGAACACTTAATCCTCCTGCCTCCGCCTCCTGAATGCTAGGATTGCAGTCCTGTGCTACCACACCCGGCAAGAACCATCTTTTAAGAAGTTAAACTATTTGACTCTTCAATCCTTTGAAACTAATCTCTTCTCATTGCCACTTGTTTCAGTCTGTTTTCTAGTTTTAGGGATTTCTTTTGTACTGGAGATTGAACCTAGGGCATCACACATGCCAGGCAAGTGCTCTACGTCCTTGGCCCTTTTTATTTTATTTTGAAACGGTCTTGTTAAGTTGCCTAGGCTGGCCTCGAACTTGTGATCCTCCCGTCCCAGTCTCCTGAGTAGCTGGATTACCAGTGTACACCACCAGATCCAGCCTTTTCTTTTTATTTCACTTTTTCAATTCTATAAAAACATATCTTTCCAAACTTAAAACTACAAAGTAAGGTACATCCTCAATCTTGTTTCTCTTCCTCACCTTATAGGGAATGATTTTGATTAGTGCTTGGTGTATCCTGATATTTCTTTTTAAAAAGAAAAATGCATGTTCATCCACACACAGAGATCTATTTAACCTTTTTCTTAGGTACAGGAGAATGATACACAGACTGTTATAGCATTGAACAGTGGATCCTGGTCATCTCTTCAGTAGACCTTTCTTCTCTTTTCACTGTTATATAATGCTCCACTAGGTGGATGCCTCCTAGTCTATTAAAATTATCTCCTGAGAGATGAACATCTGGATTGCTTCCAGTCTTTTATTTATTTATTTATTTATTATTTGTTTATTTATTTTTTGGTACCGGGGAACGAACTCGGGTCCTTGCGCTTGTGCAGCAGGCCGAAAAACCACTGAGCTAAATCCCTGGCCCCAGTCTTTTATTTTTAATTTAAAAAGTAATTTATGTATTTATATTTTTTGAGACAGGGCCTTGCTATGTAGTGAGGGCTGGACTTGAACTCATGATCTTCCTGCCTCAGTCTCCTCAGTGGTAGGATTATGGGCATGTGCCACCATCCTCAGCCCAATGTTTTAAGACAAATAATGTTCCAATAAAATTTTGTCCATGTCACTTCATCTTTTTGTCAATATATCTTTGAGATAGGTCCCAAAAATTGGTAAATGCCTAAACATGTTTACACACATGCATGCACACATGCACGCACACATGCACACACGTGTGCATGTGTGTGTGTAGGTAGTCAGATTTTACCTGGAGTCGTTTAAAATGAGCCCTTGTTCAAGCCATTTTTCTTCTGGAAGCAAGACAACCTCACTAGAAAGAATGGTTTCAGGGCCGGGGATTTAGCTCAGCGGTTTTGCTGCCTGCTGAGCAAGTGCAAGGACCTGTGTTCGATCCCCAGTACCAAAAAAGAAAGGTTTTAGATACATACAGGAAGGACTGTAAATCCCAGCTAAAGAAGAGACCTTGGCCAGGGAGTAAATCATGCCTGTATCCCAGGTACTCTGTCGACTGGGACAGGAGGATGGAAAGTTCGAGGCCAGCCAGGCATGGTGGTGTATGCCTGGGATCCCAGCACTCTGGGAGGCTGAGGCAGGAGGACTGCAAATTCACGCCCAGTCTGGGCAATTTAGCAACTTGGCAAGACCCTGCCTCAAACAATAAAAAGTAAAATGTCTGGATGTACTTCAGTGCAAAGGGCCTGAGTTCAGTCCCCGGTCCAACCATTAAAAAGTCTGAGGCCAGGCTGGGCAACCTAGTGAGACTCTGTCAAATTAGATTGCAAAGGTCTGGAGGTGGGTCAGTGGTTGCCTAGCGTGTGAAGCCCTGGGTTCCTCCGTACCACAAAGAAACAAATAGGAAAGGAAAGGAAAAAGAGCCTTCGTGTTGCTAGGGGTCTGCTGCAGGCCACGTGGAGGAGCCGCCAGAAATTCAGGAAGCCCTGGAGTCTGGGACAGGAGAAGTGAGGGTCCCTAGGACCCCATATGGACCCCATGCGAGACGCAGCCGCTCCAGAAGGGGGCGCTGCAGACACAGCAACACCTGTGTCTCACTTCTGGGACCTGGGCGTGACCCCAGTTGTCCAGGCCTCGGGCCGGGAGCCCTGGGCCACTCACATGTCCAGCTCTCTAGAGATGCCGGTCACGTTGAGGTCGAAACAGGCCTTGTTGCGGATGTCCTTGGGCAGGACGGCACCCAGCGTGACGTAGGTGGTGTTCCGGTTCTTCATGATGGTGTTGGCGGCGGCACAGGGATCTTCCATGAAGGGCGACAGCGACATGATGATGAAGATGGGGACCGTCTGGATCAGCTTCTCCAGGAACGCCCAGGACGTCTTGTCCACAAACTGGGCCTTGTCGATGATGAGAATAATCCTCTGCCTTCTGGATGTCTGGACGAGGTGGGAACACGGAGAGAGAACGCTGAGCACCGCAGGGTCTGACCGTGTGCGGGGAGGCACGTGTGTGCAGAGCAAAGCTTTTCCTTCCTGGCAGACCGCATTCATTTGGAGCCCACCAGCTCAGGACCCTTAGTAATCTGGACGGTGAGCTGGAATACTTCTACATGAGCAAACGTTTGCGTCACAATACATTTTTAAGAAAGGAAAGGGGGAAGCAAGGGAGGAAGAAAGGAAACAAATGCTGAGGCTGTAGCTCAACTGGCAGAGTGTGAGCCTAACAGGCACAAGCCTCTGGGTTAGATCCCCAGCACCAGAAATGAAGAAATGCATAAATACATAAATAAATATATTTTTGAGACAGGGTCTCACTCTGCAGTTCAGGCTGACCTTGAACTCACTATGTAGCCCAAGCTGGCCTGGAACTTGCAGCAATCCTCCTGCCTCAGCCTCCCAAGTGCTGGGATTACAGGCATGCACCACCACATCCAGCAATAAATACTTTTTTAATGATGCCGATCTGTAGTATAAACAGGGTGGCAGGGGTACCCACAGAAGCCAAGAAAAAGTGTTCATTCCATTGGGGAAAAAAACCCCACAACCTGCCACATCAGCTACAAAGACGAAGAAGCTGCAGGGAGATCTTGATGTGGACTCACTGAGCACCCACAGGCTGCACTCTGGACACGGCGGGGAAGGGTACAGAGCCAGTCCTGCACCTGCCAAGTTTATGGAACAAAGCCGTGGGTTCTGTGACGTCTCTAGCGGATCATGTTCCCCTTCTCCAGTACAGACAACCCTTTCCTAACTAGTCTGAATTAGTCATTCACTCATTAGTCATTCACAGTTCTAGTTGTTGAGGGTTCTGTCGTAAACAGAATGTGGAGCTTATCCTTCCGATTTGGCCACTCTCAGAGCTGGCCCTGCCTTCCCACTGGGAGAGGCGCAGCATGGGGAGAGCTTCTCCCTGCACTCCCTGCTCCGGCCTGTTTGGCTCCCTCTGGGAAGTCTGGCTTAGTCCATCTTTCCCTCTGTGCTGGTACCAACAAAAGCAGCAGAGCCTTCTTCAAACTTGGAAGTTTCTTAAAACAATGTTACGAAGTGTTACAGCACAGTACCAGACATGGCAGCACTGGGGGAGGCTGAGACAGGAGGATCACAAGTTCCATCCCAGCCTGGGAAATTTAGACACTTAGCAAGACCCTGTCTCAGAGTGAAAATTAAAAAGTTTAAAAAAAAAGGCTGGGGATATGTCAGGAGCAAGTCTACATCATTCTGGGGGAAAATCATTTGATTAGGCCTAGTTCTCCAGCCTATTGGCCAGCTATGGGATTTTGAGACAAAACTCCATTTTGGCCCCCAGTCACAGCTAAGACCTCAATGATCCGGTGATGCTGTGATGCTCCAGGACAAGATTACACCAGCTGAAGACATCCTGGGAGGAACAAAATCTTCATCTACTCAGTTCCTCCTTGTTCTTGGATTTCCACAGCCCGCCCCTCCCAGTCATTTGTTACACTTTGTTTATCCCGTTTATGGCCATGTACTGAACTCTCTGCAAGTCATTTGTTATATTTGTTCCTCTCCATTAGCAGGGCTGGGGATGCGGGGAGGCTTTCCTCTTTGCTGCCCAGAGCAGCACTGATCAGGCCCAAAGCTCAGCTTCATCTCAAAGTCTCATTTTTCTACCTTTCCTGTATAATAAGTTAATTTTCCTTGTGCTGCCGTGGCTTACAGGAGACTAGGAATCACTCCAGAGGTCCTAGTAGCGTCCCCTTTCCCTGTTCCCTACAGGGATATAGCTCAGGGCAAAGGCAAAAGCAAAGAACAGAGAGAGAGACTGGGTTAGGATGCAGCGCAATGGTATAGCACTTGCTTGCATGTGTGAGGCCTTGGTTCAATGCCCACCCCACCCCCCGATAGTAATATTAATAATAATGATAATAAGATGAGATTGAATGGGGGTCCTTCTAATGTGAATAAAAGCCAACATTAATACTGCACTTCCTGTGTTCCACACAGTGCCAGGACATCTGCTCGGCTCAGCCTCACGACACCCACGGGATGTGGTAGGATTGAATCTATTTTCTGAGGAATCTAAAACCCAGTTGCAAACCCGCCGGGAACACACAGGCAGTCAGTGCCCCAAAGGCTGCTGGCACAGTGCACGTCAAACGCAGCATCAGCTGTGGCTGCCATGCCTCAGAGCCCACTGAGAAGTCGTCAGAGAAAAGCGAACAACTCAGTGGTCCCTCAGCCTGACCCCAGCCCTAGTTTTTCTACCTCAAGGGGGAGAACTCACAAAGGCGTATTTTAAAAGAAGCCTCTAGGTGTATCTGTGAACAGCAGTCCCAGGTCTGACAGTGACTGATCGCTGATTGATCTTGCTGGAGATTAAACCCAGGGTCTCACGCCCACTAAGCAAGTGGTCTGCTGCTCCAGCCCCAAAGCCTGACGTTTGCATACCGGAAGGGGAGAAGCAGGTTGGGTTACTGACTTTAATACAGCACCACAGGCTCATGCTGATTGCTGATGATGCACCCGGCCTGGGCTTGTGAGGAGTGAGGCAGAAATGAGTGGGAGGCTCCCTGCCTCCTGGAGCTTGCCAGATCCTGGAGAGGAATCACACCAGGCCAAGCCGCGTCTGAGAAAGAAATTCACAGCTTTGCGAAGCTTCAGTGGAAAAGGACTGCGTCGCCCCCAGGGATTGGGAGAGCTTCTCACCAAAGCAGTGGCCTGGGAGGACGGGCAGCATCTCTCTGGTTAAAAGAGCCCTTCTGGCTCCTCTCAGCATGGGGCCCACTGGGAGAGTAGGAACCCTGGGTCGGAGGTGCATGTGCTCTGGCTGTGCCACAAGGGCAAACTGGAATGGGTGGGGATGATGGAACAGGGATCAGTTGGAAACTGTGCAAATGGTTCAGGGAGTGATGAGAGCCTCAGCTGAGCCCAGGGCCGCTGCACTGAGTTATATCCTCAGCCGGTTTTAGATTGTGGTCCTCCTGCCTCAGCCTCCCTGGATGCTGGGATTGCAGGTGTGCACCACCACAGCTGGCCTGGCAAGGGAAACATTTTATTTTGTCCCATTCTCCCCGTGAAGCCCCCTCCCCTGGCAAGGGCAACTTTAAATGACATGTGAATGAGTTTGCCACTAACAAAACCAAGAATCGGGATCTGAACAAGGAGGAAAGGGTCTGTGGCAGGAGAAGACAGTCTGATATTCTCCACCAAACTCAGCGTGAGTCACCCCAGCCAGGTGCAGCGCTATGGGTGAGGGCCAGAAGGTTCCACTCTGTGCCTGTCCACGGCTAGTGGACATTTGGAGTCCTGTGATTCTTCAGAGAGGGCTCCCGTGTGTGGAGTGTTTCCTATGAAAGAAGCACTGAGTGTTTCTCATAAACTCCAGTCATTTGAGCCTTATACCCCCTTATTTCCCATTCGATACATGATCAGACACAAGCAAAGAGAGGTTACGTGCTGGGATTTGAGGTCACTCACGTACCAAGTGACAGGCCTAGGGGCTCGCACCTCCGGAGCCTGCCTGCAGGGCCTGTACAGTAAGCTTTTTTCATTCGGTTTGTTTGTGTTCAAAGTGCTGGGGATTGAACCAGGGGCTCTATCTCTGACCCACACCTGCAGCCGCCATAACTACTCAGATGTCTCGAATCTGATACAGATAAGAAAAATGGCTGGAGAGGCATGAGCCCCAGGAGTCTTGTTAGGGACTCCTTTGAAGAATATCTATTAAGATACATTATTAGCTCGAGCTTTGGAAGGACTTTAGCCTTCGCTTTTGTGTGTGTGTGTGGTACTTGGGATTGAACTCAGGACCTTATGCTTGTGAGTCAGGCACGGTACCACTGAGCTAAATCCCTGGTCCTGGAGGACTTTAGGATAAAGCGCTCACATGAGTGACTGTTAATCCTCATGTGTCACCTTCCCTGGCTTAAGGAGCACCCAGCAGATGGGCAGAGCACACTCCTGGGTATGTCCAGGTATGTCACAGAGAGAGCTCTCTGGCCCTGTATCTGGTCCCTAGCCCTGTCCTCTCCAGTCTATTCCCCTGCTCGGCTTCCTGGCTACCATGAAGCAAGTAGTTTTCTCTGCCACACACTTCTGCCTTGAGGTTTCTGAAGCCTTGTAGCCAGCTGGCCATGGACTGAATCTCCTGAAACCATGAGCCAAACTAAACCTTTTCTCCTTTAAATTGTGGGTGTCAGATATTGTGTCTCAGCAATAGGAAACTACTGTGACACACTCCCAAAGGGCCTTGCCCGTGGACCATGAGCCTTTATCCAACTTCCTCCACCCCAGCTTGGCACACAGAGATACTTACTTTCTCCAAGATCTTCATAAACAGTTTTTCCACTTGCTTCTGCTTTCTCAAGGCATTCATCCTGGAAATCTCCCGGGAAGTGGGAAACTGTACAAAGAATTAGAAGAATATCGAGTATATGGAAATGTCAAAGGGTACTACTAGCTTTGTGACACTGGGCAAATCATTTAACTGTTTTGTGCCTTAAAAATCCTCAAATGTTAGACAATCCATAATGTCCTTCCCAGTCTTGCTAGAATAGTATAGCTGTGATGGAAAGGTGAGAAAAATGTGAATCAGCAGGTGGCCATTTGGAATTCTTGATGCAGTATTTCTGAATGCCCCTGCTATGTCTCAAGAATGTGGATACCAGCTGAGCATGGTGGCACACACTTGTTCTCCCAGCACTCAGAAGGCTGAGGCAGGAGGATCATGAGTTTCAGGCCAGCCTGGGCTGCATGGTGAGACTCTGTCTAAAAAAAAAAGCCAGGTGTGGTGGCACACACTTGCAATGCCAACACTCTAGGAGGCTGAGGCAGGAGGGTCACAAGTTCCAGCCAAGACTGAGCAACTTAGTGACTTAGCAAGACCCTGTCTCAAAAAGTGAAAAGTGTGTGTGTGTGTGTGTGTGTGTGTGTGTGTGTGTGTGGAGGGGGATTGGGGATGTAGCTCAGTGCAGAAGCTCTGGATCCAATCCCCAGTACTGCAAGGAAAAGGAGAGAGAAAGAGACAGAGACAGAGGAAAGGGCCTGGAGATGCCACACACTGGTAGAGCATGAGCTCAGCACACATGAGGAGCTGAGTTCTGTCCTCAGTGCTGCAAAATAAGACTCCGTGTGCACTTCCAAAGGAGGCAGGGAGCCCTCTCCCCTAGCTGGGTGCTGCAGATGAGAAGGAAGATAGAGGCCAAGAGAGGCCGGGCCGGAAAGCAGCGGGGTGGGCTTGTTGCCCTGGACCCTGGCGGTTTACCTGGACATGGAAAATGTCATTAAGGAGGCAGTAGAACTTCTCATCCATCAGTCTCTTGACTTTATTTTGAATATTGGACTGTCGCTCCTTGTAATGTTTACAAGTGTCCAGACCTAGCACGTTGGCCATGAATATCTGGATAGTATAAAAATTCTGGTGGAAGCTGATCTTTGTCAGTGCAATAGCAACAGTCCTGTTTATGAGAAAATCAGGGATCAGAAAAGAGTTCTAAGTGTGATTGTTTTTTGAACAGGCAAGGTTGTAGGGAAGCTCTGATTCCTCATATTCTGCGGGCCGACAGTTACCAAGCCGTCTGCAAGCTGCCTCATTCCTGTCTCCGAGGCCCTCCCTCATCGCCTGGCTGTGCCTCGCTTTCTTCTGCTCCTGCTGCCTCCGATTCTCCCCTCACAGAAACCTCAAGGTCAGCCAGGTGCAGACCTATAGTCCCAGCCCTCAGGAGGCTGAGGCCGGAAGATCGCAAGTTTGAGGTCAGCCCGGCGAATTTAGTAAAATCAAGGCCAGCCATGGACAACAAGAGGAGACAATGTCTCCAAACAAACCGAGGTTCCAGTTAGATGCAGATCTTGGGGCTGGGGAGCTCAGTGGCTAACTGCATGCCTGGGTACATGGTGAGAACTGGAAGGCTGAGGTGGGAGGATGGGAGTCTGAGGTCAGCCGGACTTCATGGCAAGACTGCCTCAAAGTAAATAAAAAGTGAAAGTAAGCTTTGTTTTCATGGCTCTTCCATTGCCTAAAAGTGTAGATCCATATTCCTCTGTGACGTGCCATAGTTCCAAAGCCCCTTTCTGTCTTCCTCTGTGTTTTGTGGTGCATGGGCCTCTGCCCTGAGCCACATCCGCAGCTCTTTTTATTTTGAAGCAGGGTCTCACTAAGTCACTAAAGTGCCCAAATTAGGTTCCAATTTGCAATCCTCCTGCCTCAGCCTCCCAGAGTGCTGGGGTTTCAGGTGTGCATCCCGGCTGCCTATCCATCGACTGCTACACTCTGCCCCGGTCCTCGCCCTCCGCCAGTGCGCAGGTTCAGGTCTCCCTCGCATCCAGGCTCCTGTCCCGGCCTGAGCTCCAGGGGCAGCCCGGACAGTGCCTGCTGAGGCTCACTGCGGGTCTCCGCCAGCTCGGCCTCCTGGAATGCACTCCGATGCCCGCGAGATGGGTCGCGCACGCGCTCTCCTGCATCGCTCTCCCTGCTTCTATTCTTTGGCCTTCAGTTCAGTTTATTTTTGATTAGTATGTTTGTGACTCATAATAACCACACTTCTCGTGGGGCACATCGCAACTCGACCCTTTATACTCCCCTCTCCTCCTCCTCCCAGACCCCTTCGCATCTGGAGTCCACCCCGTCCCCCTCTGATCCCCTCTGAGTTTGCTCTTTAAGTTATTTACAGCGTGGGCCTCTCACATGAGAGAGACCATGTGATACTGAGCCTCCCGCGTCTGACTTATTGCACTCAGCATCACGGCCCCCAGATCCAGCCATTCCTACTGTCCTCTCTCCCCTCTCTGGCGCGAGCTCCTGTGGACTGGGATTCACAGAGCTCATACCCAGGGCACTGGCATTTGCTATGGCCTCGCTTGTGTGCCCTCAAATCCAACTGTTGAAGTTGTAGACCCATGTACGTCAGAATGTGCCTTATTTGAGAACCGGGCAGTGGCAGAATAATTAGCTATGATGAGAGCAAACTGAGCTAAATGTGGCGGCACACCCCCGTGATCCCAGCACTCTGGGAGGCTGAGGCAGGAGGATTGCAAGTCTGAGTCCTGCCTGGGCAACTTAGTGAGACCCTAACTCAAAATAAAAATTTGAAAGAAGGGTTGGAGATGCAGCTCAGTGAGAAGGCCGTGGGTTCAATCCCCAGTCAGTGCCACCAAAAAATAGTAATAATAACAAGAAATAATAATTTTTTTAAAAGATGAGATCATCCTGAAATAGGCCCAGCCCCCTATACCTACATGACTGGTATCTTTCTAAGAGAGAGAGGCCTCTGTGTCCCCTTGTGCATGGTGGCACCGTCACGCTGCGTGCGAGATGTCTCCTTGTCCTATTTTTACTTGGCCCAAACTCACTCTGCAGAGCCTCCTACCTTAATAAAACTTTTAGTTTTCCTACTTTTAATAAAACTTTGGAAAGAAAAAAAAACCAAAAAGGAGAAATGTGGCTGGGTGCAGTGCCGCCCCCTGTAATCCCAGCTCCTCAAAAGCAGAGGGCGAGGGAAGGGTCCCTTGAGCCCAGGGTGGGAGCCCAGCATGGGCAACGGAGACCCCACGGACCCCATGTCCAACCTGAAGCAGGGAGGACTGGACACGGAGAGCAGGGAGCCCCCACCCCCCACCCCGCGAGGGCGAGGCCAGGCCAGGCTGCTGCTTCCACCAGCGGGAAGCGCAGAGCCCGGAGAGGACTGCCTGGCACTCTTCCTGCTGGGGCCTCTAGAACTGTGAGCTGGACAAGTCCTGGAGGCCACGCCCGCCCACGCCGGAACTGCGTCCCCTTAGCCTGGTAGCCACCAGGGCACCAAGCCATCCTGCAGCTGAGGGGGAGTCAGGGAGTGACTCAGCCGATGCCTCCTGGGTGTGAATTATCCCCTGAAGTGTGAACGAGCGTCTCCCCTACAGGTTTAGTTACGCTGACTTGTGACTACACGGCAGGATCCGCTTCCAGGGGTGCAGATGGGTGACGCTCTGTGTATGAAAATAGAAGCCAGGCGAGCTGGTGCACCCTGGCAATCCCAGCACTCTAGGAGGCTGAGGCAGGAGGATCATAAATACAAGCCCAGCCTGGGCAACGTAGTAGTTTAGCAAGACCCTGCCTCAAAATAACAAATAAAAAGGGATGGGGCTGTAGCTCCGTGTGAAGGCCCTGCGTTCAATCCCTAGCACTGGAAAAAAAAAAAAGGAAGAGAGGAAGGAAGGAAGGGAGGAAGGAAGGAAGGGGGGAGGGAGGCAGACAGAGGGGGAGAAAGAGAGCTAAGAGGTGTTAGTTCTGTATGTGCACATACCAACTGCCCTTGATGAAGGTCATCATTATGTACTGCAAGTATGGACTCATAACAATTATAAGAATTTAAAAAGAGAGAAAGAAAGGAACTGCATGAGGAACATGAGGTTAGCAGCTCGGCTCTGGGCTCCCGGGAAAACCCAAAGGCCTTCCAGTCTGTTCTGCCCACCCAGCCCTGCCCGGATCACAGCACCCACACTGGTTACCCTCCACGGGCTGCACCCTGGGGCCGTTTAAAGCTCTCAAACACCCCGGCCCCCACGATAAATAAGGCTTTCCCAGTCAGCCTAGGCTCTCAGTTCCAGTGTTCCTTGGTAGGGGTCACACACTGCACAGCTGTAGTTGTATCTGGTTACACCAGGCAAGTAGAAAGGAGGAGAACAGCAGGAGTGAGAAGGCTGCCGGGGTCCGCGTGGGGAGGGAGGGGTCCCCGAGACACACACCTGTGCCTCTCCCCTTGGGCCAGGTACTCGATCTCCTTGAGGATCTGACTCTTCCCGTACCCTGCTGTGCCTTCGTATATGAGCACTCGGCTGCAGCCGGATATCAGGAACCTCTTCATGTTGTCCATGAAGTACTTGATCTCCTTGTCACGTCCTGTTATTTTTTTTTGAAGGAGTAAATGCATCATCTATAGAGGTACAGGCCAGTACACAGTGACAGTGCCCCCAGGAATACCCCTGGGGTCCCCATGGCGTTGTCCACAGACCCTCTGCAGACCCTGTGCACTATGAGCCCGGGCTGGCCTCAAATTCTGGGTCCTCCTGGCCTCATCATGCTGGGGTTATGGGTGTGCACCACTGCACCTAGCCCTGGGGTATTCTCAGTTTTAAAAACCTCCCTCCAGAACTTTCTAATTAATAAGGTGGCTTTACAGTGTTTATTTGATTACTATAAGCTGTGAAAAGAAGAAGAAACAAGACTCTTTCCACCTCTCTTTTTTTTTTGGTGGTACTGGGGATTGAATCCGGGTCCTTCACACTCCCAGGAAGGAGCTACACTCCCAGCCTTTATTGTTTATTTTGAGACAAGTTCTCACTGTCTCACTATGTCGCCCAGGCTGAGCTCAAACTTGGAATCCTCCTTCCTCAGCTTCCCAGAGTGCTAGGATTACAGGCAAGGAGAGAGGACAGAGGTGGTTCACAATATCCTAGGACTTCTGAATGGGGTCAGAATAGAAAGGTTTGGAGCCAGGTGTGGTGGCGAAGGCCTGTGATCCCAGCACTCAGGAGGCTGAGGCAGGAGGATTGGTGAGAGTTGGAGGCCAGCCTGGGCTACATAGTGAGTTCCAGGCCAGCCTGAGCTACACAGAGAGACCCTGCCTCAAAACAAACAAACAAACAAAAAGTGCTTGCTTCAGCAGCATACATTTAACTAAAATGGAACAATATGGAGAAAACTAGCATGGTTGCTGCATAAGGGTGACACAAATTTTTGAAGAATTTCATAAATTAAAAAAGGCAGAAAAAGAGAGAAAATGGTAGCACTCTTAAAAAGAAAAAGAAAAATAGAGCCAAGCATGATGGTGTATGCCTGAAATGCCAGCACTTAGGAGGCTGAGGCAGGAGGATCATAATTTCAAGCCCAGTCTGGGCAACTTTGCTAGATCCTGTCTCAAAAGAACAAAAAAGAAAAAAAAAAGAGGGAAAGAGACAGAGAGAGGGGAATGAAAAAAGAAAAGAAAAGCACAGAGTAGAAAACTGATATATAGGATCAATAAATGGCAATGGATTTATTTCCAGAATATATAAACAATTCCAGAATAGCTGTGATAAAAATATAGCCCAAGTGACAGCTGCCAGATGTGCATAGATGTCTTATAAAAGAAGACTGACAGGGATTTCGATCTAGGAAGGCTCCCTCCCACTTATCAGTCCCCTGTGCTGCAGTGCAAGCCCTGTCAAAATAAAGACACACACATATACACACAAGAAATAAAAATAAAAAATAAAAAATAAAAAGGCTGAGGACATTCAGAAAGCAAGAATCACTCCCTACCCAGCAAAGGGTAGCCCTCATTTCCTTTGGCCCTGAGGTTCGCCATGCCGAACACACTGAAAAAGAAAGAAGGAAGAGATGTCAGGCAGCAATTCTAAGAGCATGGGGGATTGGCTTTTGTTCCCAGATGGTCTCCTCTTAAATCTCCAGCAAGAGTCTAAGCCCTAACTCAAGGGTTGCAAATGCCGACAGAAGAGAGGAAGAGACGTTCTACTTGGTCAGAGAGAGTGCAAACCACCCCGTACCAGCAGTTACCATGGCACCTCGCGTATGGTTCCACAAATGCTTATTGAGTCTTCGAGAGTATAAGAGACTCCTTTCTGGGGAAACAAGATGCCCAATACAGGGCCCAACACACTTGGCATGGTGCAGTCTCATGTGCTAGAAAGATTCTACCACTTTTTAAACAATAGCTCACCTTTGCTGGCCTCAAACTCAAGATCCTCCTGCCTCAGCCTCTCAAGTTCTGAGACTTCCGGTGTGCACCACCATACCCAGTTCAAGACCCTGGATTTTATCCTCAGCACTGGCAAAAGAAATGTTGTGCTGGGGGTGGGGCACATGTTTGTGGTCCCCGGAAGATAAGACAGGAGGCTCACAAGTTTGAGGCCGGCCTGGGATACTAGAGTTTAAGGGGGAGGCGAGGCTGGAACGTCAGGGCTACCATGTGGGTCACTACAAGGAATCTGAACGCTGTCCTCAACATGATTGGAAGCAACTGAAAGATTTTAAACCCAAAGTGACATCCACACATCTAAGTTGGCCTTTTCAGGATGTATTTCACTAAAGACCCAGAAAAGGAACAATGGCTTATACTCCTGTAACTTTGCCCAAACCCAGGCCCTTGGCCAGCCTGTCAGTCCATTCTCGATGGTGTAAAGAAGCCCTCAAATGAGCAGATTCTGGGTCTGTTTGTGCAGTGTTTGAAGAATCACCCTCGGATTTCCAGGCTGAAGGACAGAATGGGGTCTCCCCTCGGGCTATAGCAGCAGCAGCAGGATGGAGGGGAGATGAAGGGCTTTGAAACCTGGGCATTGGTCTGGGAGAGAATATATTTCTGAAATGCTAGACTCTCCATCTCCTGCCTGAGCAGCATCCTCCTCCTGATTCTTCTTCAGAAAATACCGAAAACTCAATGCCCAGACTCACACTTCCTCGTTGAGGCCCAAGCACTGGTAGACCGGACCCGAATCTGCAACGCCTTTCATAACTTTCTTGGGAACTTCTTTAAAGAAGTAGGCTGGGAGGCTGCTGCTATTGTAGGTGACAGAGTCACAAGTCACGATTCCCGGGTAGTACATCATCATCCTGGCAGCGATGTTGACCTTCTGACCAATGACTGTCCCGGAGAGAGGGAGGCAAAGCCACTGAGCTCAGTGTCATCTGAGGTCACTGCCCCGGGACAGCTGCCCTTCCTGCCTTCACCTCTTGGGAACCACATGAGTTTCACCTTCACCAGCCGTGCGCAGCCAGTGGTTATTTCCACAAATATTCAGGGGTAATCCCGCCCCCAGCATTGCTCACCCGGGGGCCAAATGGACAGCCTGGTTCAAGTCGGAAGGACCTGGGACACGAAGAGGTCTGTAAGCCAGATGGCCACGGGCCTCAGAGCCTCTCAGATCAGGCGTAGGAAAACAGAAGCCGGACTGGGTGGCACAACCCTGTAATCCCAGCACTCGGGGAGGCTGAGTCAGCAGGACCGGAAGTTTAAGCGTAGCCTGGGCTACTCAGTTAAGCAAGGCTTAGCAAGGGCTGGGGGCGTAGTTTGGTGCAAAGCCCCTGGGTTCAGTCCTCAGGGCCACACCTCGCACCCACACACACGCCCCTCATCTCCTGCCAAGCGTCCTGTGCCCACCCTGGCCTGGTGATTGCGTTTCTCCCACTCACGCACACCCCACCCCTGGCCTGCACTCCCTCGGTCCCGCACCTCCCCGGCCCGGGCAGACTCGGCACCTGTGTACTCGTGTCTCACGGTGTGTCCGATGATCCCACAGAAGACGGTGCCGCTGGCCACGCCCACGGACACGGTACTAGCGCCAGGAGAGAGGGTTGTGAGAAAGAAGCAAAGATGCCGAGTATTGAGATAAAAAGGAATTCCAAAAACGATGGCGAGCACAGAGGAAGTAGGAAGGGAAGGAGAACAATGAAGCGGGTGCAAAGGGCTGGGAAAGGCTTTTTGATAAATAATTCTCTAAAGTTCGTGTGGTGCCCACGCATGGTCCCAGCACTCTGGGAGGCTGAGGCAGGAGGGTGGCGAGTTCAAGCCCACGCTCGGCAACTTAGTTAGACCCTGTCTTAAAACAAAAAATAAGGAAAAGAGCGGGGATGTATCTCAGTGTGAGGGCACTGGGTTCAATGTCCAGTATCACACACACACAAAGAGGAAAGTAACAACAAAAAACCTGCACCCTGTGTCAGTCGTTCATGGTCGTTCACAAGGCCTGCGGACAGGACAGGCAGTTTGAGTTCTTCGTTCATCTTGTCTTTCTTTCTGCCCCGGGCCCCACCCCACAGACACTCACTGGATCTTGGGGACCTTTGAGCAGAAGTCAAATATGTCCACAGCGCTCTCCAGGGCGTGGGTGACCTCGTTGGGCTCCTTCTCTCCAGGGAAACCAAAGACGCAGAGGAAAGAGCAGCCCTGCGGGAGAGGGCAAAGCACAGCTGGCCGACACCGCGCTGCCTACCGAGTGCCACCTCAATTCTGCATAAGATCCAGGTGGGGTTTCTCTTCCACCTGATTTGGTTTTGCGTCGACCTCGTATGACTTGTAGTAAGTACAGCAGCAGCAGAGTTTGGAAGCCAGGTGTGGTACTGCACACCTGTCATTCCAGTACTCTGGGAGGCTGAGCCAGGAGGATCGCAAGGTTAAGCCCAGCCTGGGAAACTTAGACTTAGCAAGACCCTGTCTCAAAATAAAAAAATAAGAGGGGCCGGGGATTTACCTCAGTGTTTCTGGCACCTGCCTCGAAAGCACAAGGTCCCAAGTTCAATCCCCAGTAACAAAAAAAAAAAGAAAAAGAAAGAACAAAGACCCAGGTGTGGTGGCACACACCTGTGATCCCAGCACTCAGGAGGCTGAGGCAGGAAGATCACCGTGAATTTGAGACCAACCTGGGCAACATAGTGAGTTTAAGACCAATTTGAACTACATAGCGAGACGCTGTCTCAAAAACAACAAGAAAAGGACATGATAAATAAAGGATGGTATGTTAAAAATCTAATTCTGTATGTGTTACAACCTGATGAAACGCAAATGATCACTAAATTTCCTCAGTTTCTTCAGCCCTCTCCAAAAAGCACCTGATCAGTGTCCAATCCGTTAAGGGGCTGGGCCCTGTGCCGCCGGGAGGCACAGTGCCCTGATTTCAGGTCTGTGTGCCCCTCCCCAGGGCACCAGTGAGGCTGCACTGTGCAGCACGGGGCCCAACAGTGTGGCAGGCCAAGCACTTGGCTCACTCTGCCTGTGACAATGGCATCTGTCACTCGGGAGTGACCGTGAGATGCCCCCAGCACTCAGGGCCTCACACACACTACTGCAAAACGCTCAACAATCAGCTGAGGCAGATCTTGGCCCTATGGACAGAGGAACAAGGCAGGGAGTGGGGTGCACATCTGTGATCCCAGCACTCTGGGAGGCTGAGGAAGGAGGATTGCAAGTTTGAGCCCAGGCTGGGCAATTTAGCAACTTGACAGACTCTGCCTCAAAATAAAAAAGGCATGGGGATGTAGGTCACTGTGAAGGCCCTGGGTTCAATCCCCAGGGGAGGGGGGGGAGGGAGAGAGAGAGAGAGACAGAGAGAGAGAGAGAGAGAGAGAGAGAGAGAGAGAGACAGAGAGAGACAGAGAGAGCGGGGAGAGGGGGAGAGAGAGAGAGAGGGAGAGAGGGGGAGGGAGAGAGAGAGGGAGAGACAGAGAGACAGAGAGAGACAGAGAGAGGGGGGAGAGGGGGAGAGAGAGGGAGAGAGAGACAGAGACAGAGAGAGAGAGGAAGAGAGAAAGAGGGAGAGAGAGAGAGACAGAGAGGGGGGAGAGGGAGAGAGAGAGAGAGAGAGAGGGAGAGAGAGAGAGATACGGCTGGGCACCCACACGAGGAGCTGCAGAGGCCCTGGGTTCATCCCAGCCCTGCAGGAAGGTGCAGGGAGCTGGGCACAGCGGGACCCCTGGGTCCCCGCTCCTCAATGACTCAGGCAGGAGGATCCCTGGAGTCCAGGAGTTCGAGACCAGCTTGGGCAGCACATTGAGCCCCTTTCTTAAAACACAAAGATGGTAGCGGTGGCGGGTTCAGGGTAAACTAAGGCTCAGGAAGCCGGATGACTGGCTGAGGCCACACGGAGCTGCTGCTCCCCCTCTGTGGTCCCCTGAGCATTCCCTAGGCAGGAGCTGGAGGGCAGTGGCTGGCAGTGATCCCTGAACTCCCCATGGACAGCCCTGGTGCTGCCTACCCAGCGGGGGGCCAGGACTGATCTTGCACCTGTGCTTTCAGCCTGACAAGAAATGCCAGAGAGACGGTGGCAGGATGAGCAGTGCTGGGCAAGAAGTAAGTGCTCCGCTGTCTCGTGGTGACACTGGGGGTTGGGTTTAGGGTCAGGAGCGCAGAAGGCAAGCCCTGTGCCACTACACTACACCCTCAGTCCTCGGGGTTTGCCTTCTTTTGTGGTTTTTGTTTGAGGCAGGGTCTTGCTATGTAGCCCAGACTGGGCTTGAACTCATGGCAACACTCCTGTCTCAGCCTTCTGAGTGCTGGGATCACAGGTGTGTGCCACCATTCCCGGCAAGTGTTCTACTTTTAAGATTTAAAAACAGGGACTGGGGATTTAGCTCAGTGGTTCCATGCCTGCCTGGCAATCAAAAGGTCCTGAGTTTGATCCCTGGTGAAAAAAACAACAACAACTAACGTGTAGAATTGGTGCTCATTAACACTCCTGTGGTCATTTGTTTATTATGTCATTACTCTCTGAACTGATTAAACAACAGATTATACCAGCGAAGCAGTGCAGGCCTATAATCCTAGCACTTTGGGAGGCTGAGGCAGGAGGATTCCCAGTTCCAGCCTAGCCTGGGCAATTTAGTGAGAATTTGTCTCTTAATTAATTAATTAATTTAATTAAAAAGGGCTGGAAATGTGGCTCAGTGTGAAGGCCCTGGTTTCAGTCCCCCATATGGAGGGCGAGCAAACAAAACCGATGAAAAGCACTCAGACTCGGCTGGAGGTGACCATACCCTCTGACAGCACAGAAGCTAAGGGCACAGCAGGTGGGGGTTGCTGGAGACACACTGCAGGTGTGCGGGGTAGCAGGCTTCTGCCCTCATATCCCGGGAAAGCCGTTTTAGGACGGGCTGGAGCCCTGGACCCCTGTGATGTGGTCGAGCACTGTGAAGAGCACCAGGGAGGAAGGCAGTCCGTGGGGTTTGAACCCCAGCTCCCCACTGCAGCTGAGGCTCAGGAGTAGAGTGTGACCTCACCTTGCCTCAGAATCCACCCTGTGAAAAGGGCACCCACCACATAGAGCGGGCAGGGAGGTGAAATGAGTTAATATCTGCAGCATGACACAAAATGTGGGGAATATTTAAGTTTTAAAAAGCATAGTATAGTAAAAGACACATTGCCATGGATCGCCCCCGACATACTCTCCTGGCTTTGAGCACACTCATCCCATTGTTCTTGCCACTTTCTGAAGCAGTCCTGGAAGTCCTCTTTCGTGAGTGTCTTTGGTCCTGCTGTCCTGGCTGCCTCATTGCCCTGAACTGATTCAAAACGTTTCCCTTTTCATGGTTCTTCATGCTTTGGGGAAGAACTGGAAGTCACACGCTGCCAGATCCAGTGAAAAAGGTGGATGAGGACAAGGAGTCACGTTTTGACCAGCCTGCCTTTTGTTGGATGGCGCTGGGCAGGCAGCAGCAATCGCTGTGTTTTTTTTATAACCCATAAGGACACTCAGGAAGGAGGACTTGCAGAACTGGTCCAGAAAGTGGCAAGAATCACGGGGATAAGTGTGTACGAAGCAAGGGGAGGGTTTCAAGGAGGATTCATGGCAACGCGTCTTTCACTGGAATACGTTTTAAAAACTGAAACATGCCCCGTCAGCTTCTGTCACACCTCCTGTGTAAAGTGTGGAGAACCGTGCCTGGCACATATAAGTGCCAGGTGTATGTGCAGGTTATTACCCTAAGTAAAGACTGATATTTCCGGGTTAAATTTCTACTTGTCTATTCCTCCCATCCTGAACTACTGGCAGGGCCTGGCCCTGGGTCCTCTTTACCTTGTCGAACATGAAGACTTTGTTGATCTGGCCTCGGAAGGCCTGCAGGACTGAGGTGATGTGTTCACAGGCGTCCTGGATGGCCGAGCCTACCACTTCCACCTTGTTCTGGTCTTTAAACAGCAGGTTCACAAACACAATTGTCACCGGGCGAAGCTCAGACAAATAGCCGCGGAGCTGTCTGTCATCGATCTGCGGGGTTGGGAGCAGCTCACAGGGTGCCCCCCCCCGCCGCCCCCATACCCAACCCTAAAATCCTCAGTGGAGGAAAGGAGTTTTGGGGGGTTTTTTTTGCAGTTCTGGGGAATCGAACCCAGGGCCTTCACACTGAGTGACATACTCAATCCTTTTTATTTTTTATTTCGAGACAGAGTCTGTTGCCCAGACTGAGTTGAAACTTTTGATCCTCCTGCCTCAGCCTCCCAGAGTGCTGAGATTACAGTGCAGGGCCCTACACCTGGCAAAAGGACAGTCCTGAGACCCTTTGGAGAAGCTGAGGTTATCAGAACGTGTGAGGCGCAAGGCGGCAGAGGCAGCTGGCCTGAAATCGAGCAGAGGGAAATAAATGAGCGCACTACCCAAATCTTTCCCAGGGAGGACTTTATGCATTTGCTGAGTTTGGGCCAACGCCCACTGCACGACCCCAAGGACAAGCTCCCTCCTGCCAAGATGAGCCACCACCAGAAGAGGGAGCCCTGCTGTTCCTTCTGCCTCTCCTATTTTCAGTTTTGGGGGTAAGACTAGCAGGCTGTGTAGTTCAACTTTATACTGCATTTAGCCACCACGCCCAGATATTCAGGATTTTTCACGCTCAAGGAAGTCACTCCCTGTGAGTCAAAATAAAGGTGTCCTCTTTCGGGAAGGAAGGAAGGAAGGAAGGAAGAAAGGAAGGAAGGACGGACAGACAGAAGGAAGAAGGAAGGAAGGAAGGAAAGTAGGTTATTTCTAGCTGGGCATAGTGACACACGCCTGTAATCCCAGCACTTGAGAGTCTGGGGCAGGGGGATCCCTGTGAATTCAAGGCCAGCCGGGGCTACACTGTGAGTTCAAGGCCACCCTAAACTACATAACAAGACTTTGTTTCAAAAAAGAAGCAAATTGCCCGGTATGGTAGCACACACCTGTAATCCCAGCACTCAGGAGGCTGAGGCAGGAGGATCTCCCCAAGTTCGAGGCTGCCTGGGCTACATAGCAAGACCTTGTCTCAAAACACCAAACAAAGAAAATCTCTATCACACGTTCTCTCTCTCTCTCTCTTTTTCTTTTTCAATGTAAGAGAATAAAAGGGAAAACTTCAGGGAGCTCAAGGTAGTTGAAGGTGCTCTGTTTACTTAGGTTGTTGAATCTAAAAACTTTAAGATCTAATGCAAGTGACCCTAACGCAAGTGCACTTGGCATCTGTACCGCATGGGTGGAACAGCTCCACCTGCCCAGCACCCTAGGGCAGCGGAGTCCTAATGTATGCTATTGTCACAGTGTAACTGAATAACACGCCCTGTAACTCTGCTTTGGTTTTTTGTTAAAAGTCCTGGAGCTCAAACCCAGAGCGTCACATGCTAGGCAAGTACAGTGCTCTACCACTGAGCTAATCCCCGGGCCCCACTTTGAGGGTTTTGTTCATTTGCTTGTTTGTTTGAGACAGGGTCCTTCGATGTATCCCATGCTGGCCTTGAACTTTCAATCCTCCTGCCTCAGCGTTCCCAGCACTGGGCTGATGGGCAGGTACCATCACACCAAGCCACCACATTCTTTAACTCTTTTCTCTTTTTTTTGGTACCAGGGATTGAACTCAGGACCTTGTGCTGCAAGGCAGGCGCTGTGCCACTGAGCTAAATTCCTGGCTCGTTAACTCTTAATCATATCCAGACTTGAGCGATAAACTTTGAAGTCACCTGCACATAACATCTTTTTTTATTTCAAAGGAACATTTTACTGGTTGCTTTTTTAAAAATCCTCTTTCCAGCTAGGACCTCTGGCCCCACACAGCCCCCAAGCTCTCTCGGGAAGGTACCTGCTTCAGGATGCTCTCCATCACATACTTCTGCAGCGACTCCTCCAGCTCCGTGTTGGACTCCAGCAGGCAGGACAGCCTCAGCGCTGGGGGGCAGAGGAGGGGCCTCAGGGAGGAGCCACCCCCAGGGCCTGCCAACCCCTGGCCAAAGGGAGCGGGCAATCCGAGGAGGAGCTACTGGATCCAGCTGGCCCCGAATCCAGCTACAGTGTGGCTCAGTACCCCTGGTCTGATTGTCATTGTGTTGTGGGATATGAGGAGATTTTCACTGGGGCTTGATGTGAAACTACCGACAACAGGGGTGGGAATGGATGTCTGGGGGTGACGACAGAGAAGGAGGGAGGACAGCGTAGGCAGAGCAGCAGGAGTACGATGCGGGGAACCGGCCTCTGATCTCAGACTGGGGATTGTCCAGTGAAGATCACTAGAGGCCATTGCTTTGGCCTAGGCTCCTACACAGGGCCCCCACCACCAGGGGTTAACAGTCAAAATGGAGTCACTAAGGCCAAAGAAAAATGAAGAATATAGTGTCCAGAAAAAAATAAAAGAGAAAGAGAGAGAATAATCCAAGGGCAGCCACCTAGGATGAGGCCGGAGGAGAGGTGATCTGCTCTGGCAACTTAGGGCAGCCATGGCCTAAGTCGCAGCAGTGGGGAGAGGGCAGAGCTAGATGTCAGGGCACAAGACCAGCTCAGCAAAGAGGTGTGTGCTGTTGTCCCCGCTACTCTGGAGCTGAGGCAGGAGGATTGCTTGAGCCCAAGAGCCAAGGACAGTCTAAGTGACAGAACAAGACTCTATCACTGGAAGATTAAAAATAAATAAAAATAAAAGACCCAAGAGTAGGTGAACACAATCATACCCCAATGCACAAGTAATCAGTGTTTATTGTGGGAATAAATCAACAAGGGGTTACCAGGACGCGGACAAATGAACACATGTATCAATGTGTGTGCATGGGTGAGGAATTCAGAAGCTTTCTTTTCTCTTTCATCGAGGGAGAGATTTAGGAATGTTCGGAGGATGACGGAGGGAGAGGGCACGAGGAGGGAAGCACCTAGGTCTCCTCCGCAAGCCCGTGAGGACTAGGAGGTGAGAGGTATCAGCTGCTCAGAGTGGGGTGTAAGTTACCATCAAAATACACTGAAAGTGTTTACATTTAAAAAGTGTTACATGAAAAGACACATTGCCATTAACCATCCTCAAAAATGCTCCCCTTCGCTTCCAACACACTCATCCCATCATTCTTGCCACTTTCCGAAGCAGTTCTGGAAGTCCTCTTTCCAGAGTGTCTTTACAAGGTATGATCAAAAACACAGCGAATGCTCCTGCCACCCAGCAGAAAGGCAACAGAAAGGCAGGCTCATAAAAACATGACGGGGTGTCCTCATCCACCTAACCATGCAACTTCTGGCTCTTCCCCAAAGTCAAAATGACCATGAAAGATAAGCATTTTGAATCAATTCAGGACATTGGGGCGGCCAAGACAGTGCAACAAAAGACATTTACGAAGGAGGACTTCTGGAACTGCTTCAGAAAGTGTCAAGAACAATGAGATAAGGGTGTTCCGAGTGAGGGGAGTGTTTTAAGGAGGATTCGAGGGAATGTTCTTTTACCGTAACACATTAAAAAAATTTTAAAAACATTCAGTGAACTTTGCAATCACAGCTCCTACACTGGGCACCAAGAGAGGGAAAGGACTTCATTATGAAGAGTACTTACTTTTGAGCTGACTAGAAGGATAATAGTTCATGAAGGCCATACACTTTTTGAAAAATTCATCAAAGTTAAAAGTGGAAGGTAGTTTTAAGAACTTAACCTGAATAAAATAAACAAAGTTTGTAGTCATTCTGATTATTATCTGGTCCTTTGAGTATGCTCTCTCTGCAGAAAGTGAGGGTGTAAGGGTACACGTTTTTGAATGTCGAGGACATGGTAACAGTGATTGGCAGACTTAAACACTACAGATCTTCAATTTGTAAAACTTGAATTTTTTTTTTTTGAGACAGGATCTCACTATGTAGCTCAGGCTGGCCTTGAGCTGGCAGTGGTCCTCCTGCCTCAGCCTCCCGAGGGCTGGTATTACAGGCGTGCACCACCACACCCGGCTCCCCAGCCCTTATTTATTTATTTACTTTTCAGCACCCCTGCCTTTTTTTGGGAACCAGGGCTCGAACTCGGGACCTTATGCTTGTGAGGCAGGCAGCGGAACCACTGAGCTAAATCCCCGGCCCTCAGCCCTTTTTATTTTAAGCCAAGTCTAAGTTATTAAATTGCCCAGGCTGAGTTGCAGCTTGGGGTCCTCCTGCCTCAGCCTCCCAGAGTGCTGGGATTACAGGCTTCTACAACCTTAACCAGCTTTGTCTTCTCTGCCAACCGTTCCCCTTCCAAGCAGCGCCACCCTCCTCTCCCTGCACAAGCTCACAGCACAGCTCGGCCCTCGCTGGCCTCCAGGGCTCAGCCTCTGCCTGGGTTGGGGGTCCCCCAGACAGTGAGGGCCCCGCATGCTCCCCAGCCCGGAGGCCCAGGCCTGGGGATCGCGCCCTGCCGCAGCCCGCAGGACCCCCGCAGGGCCCCACCGACCTTCACCACTCTCTGGTCCGGAATCCTCTCGATTTCGACCATGTTCCGGTCACACAGCTGCCAGCAGTTGGGGGACAGGATGACGTCATTCATCTGCGCCAGGTTCTGTGCCAGCCGCACGTCGTCCACCGCCTGGCCGGTCACCAGGAAGTGGTTGCGTCTCTCGTCCCCGAAGACCACCAAGGTGATGTGGCCAGCGGACAACCCTGGCGGGGTGAGGCACGCACAGGTTGGCGCGGGACTCCTGGGTTACGGCCCAGCAGCACCGGCCTGGGAAAGATCAGGAGCTTGCTATGAAACTCAGAGTAAAATCTCTCCTCTAAACTAATGTAGGAGCTGGGCGTGGCGGTGCACGGCTGTAAGCCCAGAGCTCTGGAAAGCCAAGGCAGGAGGGTCACTGTGAGTTCGAGGCCAGCCTGGGCTCCATAGTGTGTTCAAGGTCGGGCTGAACTGCATAGCAAGACCCTGTCTCCGACAGAACAAAACAAAACAAAACAAAACAAACCCCACTTTAAAGCAGGAATCAGAGAAAGCCTCTTCCAGGTTCCTGGCTTCTAAAGTCCCAAATGCCCATCTCTCTCTCCAAGGGCTAGAAAGTTCAGCCAATAGTTTCTGCCATTCTGTAACACCTTTTTTGTGACAAAGTTACTTTTACTTTGTTTTCAGTTTGTTGATACTAAAGAGTAACAGAGGGCCAGGAATTTAGCTCAATGGTTTCACTGCCTACTGTGCAAGCGCAAGGACCCGAGTTCAATCCCCGGTACCAAAAAAAGAAAAGAGCAACAGAAAACTTATTTGTTTATTTTGCAATGCTTGGAAATGAACCTAGGACTTTTGTACTGGGCCACATCCCCACTCCCACACCTTCATTTTTGTATTTTTGTTGTTGTTGTTGTTTTGAGACAGGGTCTTCTATGTATTTCTGGCTGGTTTTGAGCTGGCAATGATCTTCTTGCCTCAGCCTCCCAAGTGCTGGGGTAACAGGCAGGCGCCACTACGCCAGGCAGAAAATAACTTCAAATTCCTGTTGGGGGAGATTTTCATTTTATCAGAGATTGAGATTTCACCTGGAAAAGACGCCCTAGCTTCTGAGTCCAGGAAACAACCTGATGCTGAGGGAAAAGAGGCCACATGTCTGTCCCACAATGCTTTGGCTGATTGATTTCCCATTGGGAGACAGAGGTTTTGGTTCCTGAGCAACAGGAGACAGATGTGAAAAATGACACATACACAAAATATGTTCATAAAGGTACTGTGACAGGAGGTTTGAGCCCAGCTTGGGCAACTTAGCAATTTAGTGAGAAGCCCAAGAGTTTGATCCCCGTACTGATAATAAAAAAAGGGTACATCAGTCTCTCTAGGTGTTAACTGTGGCCCTAGTGATTGAACCAGGGTATTCAAACTGAACTACATCCCCAGCCCTTTTTATTTAAAATTCTTTTTTAGGGCCGGGGATCTAGCTCAGTGGTTCCACCGCCTGCCTTGCAAGTGCAAGGTCCTGAGTTCAATCCCCAGTACCAAAAAAAAATTTTTTTTATTAGTATATGGTTGCAGAACATAATCACACCTTTTTTTTTTGGTACCGGAGATTGAACTTGGGTCCTTGTGCTTGCATAGCAAGCGGCCAAACCACTGAGCTAAATCCTCGGCACACAGCCCTTTTTAAAAAAGAATTAAAATTTTTTTTTGACACAGGGCCTTGCTAAATCACTGAGTTGCCCAGGCTGGGCTCAAATTTATATTCCTCTTGCCTCAGCCGCCCAGATTACAGGAATGTGTGGGAAATTTTGAATAAAAGCACAGTGAAACATAGGTTGCCGTTAGTTGCACGATCTCTGGTGCTTGCATTGGCTCTGACACTTCAGCCTTCTAAGGCTTACAAAATTAGGTTAGGGGAAGCTGCTGCCCCAGCTCCCGTAGCTCTGGCCCGCGCTAGAGCACTCTGCCTCTCAGAACCTCACTGTTCAGTGGGAAGGGCAGGAGCACTCTGCCTGGGACTGGATGTGTGTGCATGGTGCCATGTGGGGCCTGTGCACCCGAGGCCCTGCGGGAAGCTGGAGCTGTGCCATGAGCTCATGTTAAGTTTTTCTTTCTTTTCTTTCTTCCTTTTTTTGGTTTGTTTGGTACCAGGGATCCAACTCAGGACCTTGTGCTTGTGAGGCAGGCGGCAGCACCACTGGGCTACATCCCCGGCCCTTTTTGGTTTGTTTTTTCAGACAGGGGGTCTCTATGTAGTTCAGGCTGGACTTAAACTCACCGTGTAGCCCAGGCTGCCCTCAGACTCATGGCAATCCTCCTGCCTCAGCCTCCCAAGTGCTGGGATTACAGGTGTGCGCCACCACACCTGGCTTTCTCTCTCTCTCTCCCCACTCCTGCTCCTCCTTCCTTGCTGCCTTCCTCCCTCCCTTCCTTTTTCCCTACCTCTTTCCCTCTCTCCCTTCCTTGGTTCCTCCCTCCACTCCTTCCTTCAAAGTGCTGGGGATCAAGCCCAGGAGCACCCTTCCACTGAGCCTCATCTGCAGCCCTTTTTACTTTGTACTTGAGACAGGGTCTAAGTTGTCCAGGTGGGACTGGGATCTGCGACTCCCCTCCCTCAGTGCTGGACACCAGGCATGTGCCACTGTGCCCAGCCTGCTCACTTTTCCGTGAGTGCATGTCACTCTTCTGGAGTGGGGACAGACCAGGCTCGTGTCACTGCTGAGCCTGGTAAGGCTCACTGCTGCTTCCCTACCCTGCCCAGCAGCTAAGACTAAGGACGGCAGCCACCGGCTAACAAAGGCCTTTTGTCCAGTGGCTCCTGGGTGCCGAGCACTCCATGAGCTCTTGTCCTTCCCGTGATGGTAGTAGGGAGTAGGGAGTACGTAGATCTCAGAGCAACCTGCTCCTCCTGACCAGCGTGCTCGGAAGCTGCCATGCGCGGCCTGGGCACCCTGATTCTGAGGCTAAGGTGGCCCACACCCCACAGTGGCCGTCCCTCCCAGCGCTCACCTATCTTCACTCGGATGTCCAGGCCTTCTTCCTCCATCTCCTTGTTGTCAAACAGGCCGTGTATCTCCAGGCTGCATTTAACGACCACGGTGATGATGTTTTTCAGTTGCTTCCGTTCCACCTTCCACAGGGCTAGCAGTGCGTCACCTTGGATGGACACACATCCGGGGCGCACTCCGTGTGAGTCTGAATAGACCCTCTGCTCCCCAACACTGTCCTCAGCCCGTCTTCTGCCCTTCCTACCCCACTTGTGTCCATCAGTGTACCTGCAAATTTCAGGATGTCTCCTCCAAAAAGCAACACTTCTGAGGGGGAGAAAAGAAGTTAAATCAAGCTATAATTCCTTTTATTTTTTGGCAATACTGGGGATTGAGCCCAGGGCCTTTGAACTGAGCTCCATCCCAGTCCTTTTTGAACTTATTTTGAAACAGGGTCTTGCTAAGTCACTAAGTTGCCCAGGTTGGGGTTGCACTTGAAAGCCTCCTGCCTCAGCCTCCCAGAATGCTGGGATTACAGATGTTCGCCACCATGCCCAGCTGACTCTGATTTCTGAAAGGTAGCCAAAGAATTCACTCATTAGTGACTAGAAACAGGGTCAGGAGGACAGCAGTTCAGAACATAGACTTCCATTGAAGATGTCTCCTCGTTAAGCCCACATGATCTGCTTCCTCAGCTGCCCACGGAGCTCGCTGGGCTCCATTGCTGCAGGTGGGAAGAGGGAGAGAGGCAGTGGGGCTTTCAGTGCGGACCAGGACAGCTGCCCTCCTCTGGAGACCGGGGATGCTGTCCTCAGGTGGGGCTCCCCGAGAATGGGAGCCGGGAAGTGGGACATCAGAGTCACAGTCAACTTGGGTGTTATTTCCCGTCTTGGGCTTTCCAGTTAGACTCTCTACGGCCATTTGTTCTCTTACTTATGCACCATCACAAACTCACTGAGTGCCTACCATGCTGAGATAAGAAAAAGAATTCAATGCCATTTCTGCTTTTCAGGAGCATCAGATTTTGTCTAGCGGGGAACATTAAGGTATTATTAGGGAACTTAAAACCTGGTAAGGCAGTGGGCCTACAGGTTACCACAACATGAATTCCTTTCTTCATGAATGGTGCAGACTACCAGTGCAGACAAGATGGCAGACAGAGGCGAAAAGGGAGCGGACTTCACTCAGCTGTGAGGGCTTCAGGACCCACCATCAGGAGACGAAGGGGTGAGAAGTCGATTCTAAACTACTCCTTTCTAGTCCAACAACAATCCCTTCATGACTACGTTTGAGTATACAGAAGCCAGGTTTAAAAAATATACGAATATATTAAGTGTGACTAAATGTATTGGTCCTCTAGTTCTTTTTAGAAAAAAGCATTTCAGCTGGGCACAGTGACACATGCCTGGAATCCCACACTTTGGGAGACTGAATCAGGAGGACTGCAAGTTCAAGTCCTACCTGGGCAATGCAATGAGACTCTGTTTCAAAAAATAAAAGAGGGCTGGAGATGCAGGTCATGGGAAGGCCCTGGGTTCAATCCCCAGTACTGCAAAATAAATACATAAATAAATGAAGAATGTCAGCCTTTATATGAATGCAAAGCATCTTTTCCCTCTAGGGTCTGTACTGTGAGGCTGATCCTATCCCTTCAGCTGTCCCATGGGAGGTCTCAGAACATAGTGTTTTGGTGCAGATTTAGCTCAGTGGTTCTGCCACCTGTCTTGCAAGCGCAAGGACCCACGTTCGATCCCCAGTACCAAAAAAAGAACACAGTGGTTTTAGCCACGTTTCCTGGGGAAAACAGGAGTGCTGAGGAGCTGTACTCAGTTGTGAACAACAGGCACAGGAGGCACTGGACTGGCACAGAAGCCAGGGCACACTCACTCTCCACGATGGCGCTTATGTAGTGGTTCAGGATGTCCACCAGCTGCTCGGCCCCTCGGTCCATGTACATGGCGGTGCTGAACTTCTCCATCATGGCAGTGAAACCTAAACAAACAGCTGATTTCGGCTGCTTGGAGGAACCAAGCAGAGCTGCAAGAGGGGCACGCTGGCAGTCTCTCTCTCGCCCTCTCTCTGTCTCTTTCTCTCCTCCCTCCCTTCCTCTCTTCCTTCCTTCTTTCCTTCTCTCTTTTCTCTCTCTCTCTCTCTCTCTCTCTCTTTCTTTCTTTCTTTCTTTATCTTTCTTTCCCAGTACTGGGGCTTGAACCCGGGTCTTCACACAGAAGTACATCCCCAGCTCCTTTTTTTTTTTTTTTGAGACAAAGTCTCACTAAGTCACTAACTTGCACAGGGTGGTCTTCAACGTGTGACCCTCCCACCCCAGCCTTCCAAAGTGCTGGTGTTACTGTCATGCACCATTGTGCCTGGCTGATCTTTACATTTTAATAGTAAACTTGGCAGCTCTTTGGAAGAGTTTGAAATCTATGTGTTTTCATTACCATGGGACATAAATTCTATTCCCAGTTAAAGGTACTGCAGTCATCACTATGGAAGTAGAGCATCTAGAGGGAAGAAATCTGGAGCCTTTCCCCGACCTCTAATATAACAAATGCTGAGAAAGGAGGCTGTGTCTGACACCTGACCAGTCACAGATGACTGTGAGGAAACTCTGGGCCAGGCATGCTGATGCACTTTGGGAGACTGAGAGGCACGAGGCACATGCCTGGGCAAGACCCTGTCTCAAAATGAAAAAATAAAAAGAGCTGGGAACACTATCACAGCGGTAGAGCATCCTCGTGCTGCTCAGTCTCCAGCCACACGCGTGTGGACACACACACACACACACACACAGGGTCCAGGGAGACCTCTTCCTGAGGTCAGGATTTTGTTTTTGCAGGTGGTGGAACTCCGATGTGAGCCTGTGACCCACACCAACCCCACACATCCTTTTGGCACTTGCCTGAAATATCAACGAACATCAGGACTCCATCAAAATAATCCATGGAGGGCCGCTCCGGAGAGAAATTTCCATAGACAATGAGGTCTGGTAAATGAGCCGCTATTCTGACAATGGCGTTGTCCTGTGATTTTTGCTGAGTGTTCATATTCAAGGCAAATTTCTAGAAACTCTTGGCGACAGGAAGCAGTGCCCCAGTAGGTCTTCTAGAAAGAGAAGTTGGGAATGGAGGATAATTGGCATATTTGTTCACTCAGTTTCCTATTTGTATTTTCTCCATTGTTCCTGTGCCAAGCTGTGGATTGCTCATGTAGGTGACTGGTGGTGACATTGCCAGGGTTGCTGAGTCACACTTCAAAAGGACATCTCTCCCCTTTTTTTTTGCACTACTGGGATTGAGCCTCAGGCCTTCAAACTGAGCTACATCCCTTTCCCTTTAAAAAAATTGTTTAAATAGTGTCTCACTAAGTCTCTAAACTGCCCAGGGTGAGCTTAAACTTGTGATCCTCCTGTCTCATCCTCCAAGTACTGGGGTTACAAGCATGCAGCACCTTGCCTGGCAAGACTGCTCTTCTATACAGAGGGAAACCCCTCACACACTGGACCTCCAACCCCCAACACTGTTACAGAAATGAGCCACATCATCAGGAGCATGTACGTAATGGGGCCACACATTTTTATGAAGGGGTTGGGCCTTCACTGCACACCTGGGGTAGGTGGCCGTGCTGTTTAAATCTCTAGTGTCAACTTGAATGGATGAAGAGCTGGCAAGAGGGGCACTTGGGAGCGACCAGCCAGCGGACGGTGAGGACCTCAGGGATGTGGGGTGGGGCTCCCTCCTACCCACACCCCGCCACCCAGTGACCAGCTTAGGGCGCCTGCAGCACCCCCCCACACACACACACCTCTGGCCTCCTGGCTGTGCCGGTACCTGATTCCACACTACAGAGGCACAGGGGGTCATAAAGGCCATTGTCCTGAGCTCCAGAAGATAGAGCAGAAGTGAGCAACAGAAAGAGGGCCTCTCTCAGGATCCTTGATGAAAATTGAAGCCCACTGGAAAAGTGAAGAGAATCTCTGCAATGAAGGCACCCCAGACCACTGTACCTGGTAAGTTGGAGGGATCACCACCTCCCATCGGAACCTGGACTATCTTCAGGGGAAGGGCAGCTGGAACCAGCAATAGAACCTTGCAGACCTGAACCCTGGAGGAGGACAGGAGCTCAACTTGGGACGTGCAGCTAGAAATCTGCCTGAATCTCATGGGTCTGCTACTGGCTTGCTGAGACTCATTGACTTATATCTGCACACTGCTGCCCACATTGTCTATTGTGACAACAGAGACATACCCTGAAGGAGGCCCTTCATTTTTATTTGTTATTTTCAAAATTATCTTTTTTGCTCTTATTTTTAATTTTTCTACTCTTTTCAAATTTTTCTTTCTTCTTCTTTTTTTCTTTCTCTCTCTCACTCTCTCATGGTCCCACATGTTCTTCATCTCCCTTTTGTTCCTGTTCTGGTCCTAATTCAGATTTCTTCTTTATTTTTCTTTCCTTCTCTTTTTCTTTCTCTCAATTGTCATTAGTTTTAAAGCAAAGTAAATACAGTTTCTAGCCTCCCTATTGCTGTTAGTTTGTTCTGTTCTCATCTTTGTTCTTTCATTCTGTCTTTTCCTTTAGTATCCAACAGTTTCTTAGAGTTTGCATGATCTTCCTGTGTCCTCTGGCCTCACTGCCAACCTTCCCCTATCCTTCTACCTATCTATCCCTCCCTCCCCAACTCCTTCTAACTCCCTATCCCAAAGGGTAAAGTTGCTATATTGAAGAATCTATTCATTATAAACATGTGTTAGGCTGGTCCTCAATTTAGATTTCATTCACACAGTTAAAGGTGATAGTTTTTTTTTAGATATGCATATAAAGGTATATGCATATATGTATACACAAATATATTTAAATGGAGGTCCACACACTGTGCTAGAATACAAACAAATCAAAGGTCACATATAAAAAGGCTATAACATATAACACAGGCCTAGAACCAGCTCTTGGGTGGGAGCTGGGGAAAGGAGGGGGTATGAGGAGTGTCATTTGGAGACTATGTACACAATTTGTGATGGGCAGGGAAGGAACGCATCAGTGTAAATTCACTCCACAATACTGGCCCACAGGAGAGTGATGCATGTCAAGTACAAAAATAGAACCCTACCTTTTCTACAAACCAAGCTTGGTAGGCACCCAGGATGACTGTGGGTTTGTCTTGATGGGGGGCGCTACACCAGGCTGCTGGTAAACCTTTCAACTCTAGGAACTCACCTGTTAACTCCCTTCTCTCTCTTTTAAGCTCTTGGGCCTTTTCCTACCCAACACCAGAGCCTGAGGCCTACCCAGAGAACCCATCCTCACAGGGCTAAATGCATGGCTTCCTGACAAGCAAGGTTTTATAGTATCTGTTTCTCTCTCTGACCCCAAGGTATATGAAGACTTACTTCTGTAAATGTTTGGCACCTAAGAAATATGATGACTGTGGAATAATGCCACAAGTACACAGGGAGACCCAGTAACAAGACATGCAAGAAGTGGGCAAGGGGCAATGAGTTTCCCTAGCATCTCAAAACCAAACTTCGGCTTCCCATGCATTTATAGGGGTGGGAGAAAGGATGTGCAGAACTGACAACTTCACTGGCTCCTCACAGCAAATACATTCAAAATTGAAGGTGCCTTGAGCATTTCACAATAACCTAATTACAAGTCTGGTCACTCCTCTGGGGGAGCTTGGTGCGGTGACAGTTGCAAAGGCCAAGTCCCACATGAATCTGTGGCACCACAGTCCTTCTGAAGAAGCTCAGCAGAGTAATTTTCTTTTGAGTAGATGTACAGCACATCCAGGGGAAGGCCATGTGAAAGGATATTCTCCAGCCCAGTCAAAAGATTCAATCTGTTATCTCAGTCCCCTCTGAGTTTTTCCTGCTGGGCACCCTCACTATTCAGAATTAGCCAAGCAGCATTAGAGTCAGTCATCAATGGTGGGCAACCAGATGGCCATGTTGGAACATGCACTGGCAAATGTCATGTACTTGGGGTTGAACTGCAAACAGGTAATGGGGCCTGTGTGTTTGCCATCCAATACAGCTACTTTTATACCGCTCTCACCATTCCAAACATGGATCTTGCCATCTTCTGAACCAATCATAATAAACTGAGAGTCTGGAGTAAATGAAGCCTCTAGTGTGACAGTTTTGCTGTTGGCATAACCCCCAAATGTGTGCATCACCACTCCCTTGAATGCATCAATGAGATGGATGAAGCTGCCATTGGTGGAGATGAGTATGAGCTTGCCATCGTTGCTGAACTTAAGTCCTGTCCATTCACAAGTTCGATCATACTGCATCTTAAAGGTTGCAAATAGCCCCTTGTCAAAAGAACGAAGGTCATAAAGCTTGACCATTTCAGAGTTGACACCAGCAGCAAAAATTAACCCTTCTGGATCAAAAGGACAAACTGGCTTGCCCTGTAGATGCATAAGACCCTGGCAGTTAGGAGACCGGAGATCCCAAAGTCAAATGGTCTTATCAAGGGACCCAGAAATGAAAGTGTCATCCTCAGGTGACATGGATAAGGCCACCACCCTTTTGTTACGTCCAGGAAAGTATCTGATATATTTGTTGTCATGCAAGGACAGGTAGCGAATTGTATCATCTATTTTGTTAGAGCTATAAACAACTGTGTTTGCCGCATGAGTGTATCTGATGAGGTCCACACCATATTTCTTACTGTACAGGGTTCTCTTTGGTTTGCCCTCCTGACAGTCATAGAGCACGATGGAGTCGTCGTCGCTGCTCGAGATGACCGTCTCGCCGTTGGGACTAAAGTCAAAGCAGTTAATCTTGTCTGAGTTCTCACGGACATGGAAGCTCCGCAGCACACTGTCGGTCAGCTTCATGGCGGCCTTAAAGGTGATAGATTAATAACTACCACAAATTGTCATTTTCTAAGCTGTGCTTGATGCTATGGTGTTGTTGATTGTATCACTTGGGCTAAGGTGTTGTGATTGATCTAATCAGTTGTCCTTCCTGGTATAATGAAAATGAGACAGCCTCAGAGTCATTAGAGACTCAAAACCTAAAGACCAGCTATATCTGGAAGACACCTCTGAGAAGCAATCATTCCATA